TTATTTGCATTTTCATATTATATTTTCTTAACTTCAGCATAGGAGTTGCCCACGTTGAACTTTAGATCTATATAGATCTATCTATCTATAGGATACATTTATGATTCTCTAATTTATTTATTTTTCGTTCCCCCTAATGAAGGAGCCTGCCCTATATTCATATACTGAATTTTGCACGCATAAGGGACTACCTGACTACCTCTTTCTGACGTGGTTGTTATCCGTGTTGAAACCTTAGGAAAATGGTAAGTTTTGTATGTTTTTAATTTAGAAATTACAATGCAGAAAATTGTTTAATCCAGTAACGTATATCCCAGGGACGTTCGAACAGTCAACTTGGGGCTATTTATAAGCTAACAACTGATCACATGGCATATATTTTTTAATCCGGCTATTATCACAAACAAATATTTGAACTTACAGTCTTACCTTGTATAGGCATGTCTTTGCAATTTAAGTTCCTTGTTGGGTGCTCTGAAGTTGTTTCCTTCTAATTACAGTTTTTTGAAACAGAGAAGGAATCAGAAGGATTCCAGCCTGTGCTTAAACCGAAAGAGCTCATTGCTTGTATGGGTTAAGAAGATGAATAAAGGGATGCTTTTCTTCTCAACAGTTCTAAATATCTTTTGCGTTTACTTTCATTTTGTTCCGTGTAAAGCTTATTGTTTAAATTAATTTTGAAGAGTTAGTCTTGTAGTATTATCCACTTAGTAACAGGAAATTTTAACAAGCATTTCTGAAGGGGAAAATTGTCATAGTATATACATCTTGATCTCCATTTTTCAAACTGTACGCCCATACTTCATTTTCTGTACAAATTCAATAGAATTTCTGTCTTGCACATAAACGAAAGGTATGTGAATAGAAATTTTCAAGATCTTAATTTTTCTTGTCTTGGTAGTGATACTTGTCATTAGATTCTCCTCTTTGGCTCAGAATACAGATTAAGTTTGCTAGCATTGTTTTAGAAACTCTTTCTGTTTTATTCACCATATCATATTTGCATTTCCAATTGCATCATTGGAAAATTTGATCTTAAAATCTACTGTCAATGTTGATTGTTCCTTACTTAAATTATGCATATATTGAAAAGCTCACCTGTTACCAAACAGTGCCTCTGGTGCTAATTTTAAAGAAAGGCCTGCAATAGAAGTGATGTTCAGAAAATAAGGTGGAAGAATCCCTTAAATATGTTCTCTTCAGTAGTATGAAAAGGAAGTAACTTGCCGTATGGTTGAATTGACAGAAACCGTTCTGTGCCTTGCTGAGATGCAGAATGTCACAGAGTCACTGTTTGCACTTGAGTTTTATTCAGTGTGTTTCATTAATCTTGTTGTAATACTGTGGATGGTGACCAAGGAGAAGAGCAATAAGAGATTTCCTCAAAAGCTCTGTAAGTGTTTACACTCAGAAGGTGGCAAAATATGATCAAAAGTTTGGAAGTAGTCCCGTAGGAAGATTTTTTTTTTTTTAAATCATTGAGTAGCCTCATTGTTTTGTCCTATTCCCCTGTTACACTGTCCCTCTGTTGCAAGCCCATATAAGCACACAATAGAAGTCCCAAGGGCTAAAGTAGCTTTTAATCCTGTGCCACAATCTGATTTGAGATGCAGAGCAGTTACAATCCTGTGGTTGTATCAGAAATCTTCCTGCTAAATGAAAATCATTCCTTATAATGAGGTCGGTAAATTGCATTTAGACCCATTGTGCTCTATAAACCTTGATTTTATGTGTAATCTGTTGATGGTGAAAAACAGCTAGGCTCTTGGATTCAGGGGATTTGTTCTTGTTTTGTTTTTTGTTTTTTTTTTTTTGGTGTTTGGCTAAACTATTAGTAGTAAGGAAAGCAGGAGTCCAAGGTTCCTTGGAAGCCTGCCTGCTCCATATGACAGTGTAGCTTCCAGCCTAGTATTAGCAACACTTAAAACCTTATTAATTGGAAATTGCCTTTTAAAAATGCCCTAGATCAAATGTGTAGATCACTGGAGAGCGCCAGTTAGGTGAAGCTATTAAGTGCTGTGTTCTTTGAGGTCATTTCTGAGCACTAGGTGTATGCTCATGTATGTGACCATAAGCTTATTTGAAAAAACTTTGTTAAGCCACTCTTCCTTTGCATTCTTTTCTGCTGTAATAACATTCTATTTAATACTAAACTGTTTTCATACCAGGTGCAGTTTGACTTTCCAGCCTGTCAAACAGCGCAGCAAAGTTCACAGCTAACAACAGAGCCATTCAGCACAAAAATAAACGTTTAAAATGAGCTGATGGCTTGAATTCTGGCCCTGCAGATGTTAATAGCAGTGTCCCCATCTTATTTTGCCTTATAATGAACACTAAGCAGCAATATTTTTTAACATTTTCAGAGGAGAAGCAAGGGTTCTGTGGTGTGAAGACTGTTGCATAAGCTGTGTATTGTAAAGCGTTTTGGCAGGGGTACAACCTTCTCACTCTGTGCTATATCTGTCTGTGTATACAGCGAAACTCAGTCCCTAGGGCTATCAATCTGGCATCTTTCAGCAGCAGTAAAAGTACTGCAAATATTTTTTTGTGCGCATGCAAAAAAGTGCTATTAAAACCTTTGTAGACAGCAGTAAAACATTCCAATAAGCGCGTCTTCTGTTTACTTCTCTCAGAATTCCTCTTCATTGAATTTTGATACATACACATCAGCACATTCTGCACACTCAGATTCACTCACCCCTGTTTGTGTGTGTATGTTTTCATAAGTCTATTTTGAATACTTTGGCAATGCAGTCTTGCTCAAGGGTTTTTCATGTTAACATCTTTTTCATTCTTTTTCTAAACTTATTTATCTTCTTATTGTTTAACTGTGATGTCTTTAAAAATACACTGCTGACTTACAAGGGGAGTGTAGAGGATGAATGGTGTTATTGTCAAGTATTTCTGTATACAAACTTTGGTGGGTTACACGTTTGATTTTGTTAGGAATAGAGTTGCCTAGGAACATGAAGTTTTTTTCTGTGGTTGTTCCAATAAGCTGTGCCCTCTCTCCAAACTGGATGGCTAATGTGTAACCTTGCAATCTGAGTTTTAACACTGCTTTTCTCTGTCTGTGGATTAGGTTTTATGGTTTGTTTGTGTGTGTGTGTGTGTGTGTTTTTTGTTGTTTGTGTGTTTTTGTTTTTTTTTATTTTTAAATATTATACTACTGGGCAAATTGAGATTAATTCAAAATAACTTTGGGATTTTAAATAAGTAAATGAATAATCTGGATATTTATCTTTGCAATATCAGCATCTGTTAGGAAGATTTTTAGGCTCACTTGAGGAATATGTCATTGAAACAATGTTGAAATTGGTAATATACGTTTTGGGGGTTCTGTCCTACTGACTGAAACACAGAATTTTAGAATCATACGCTCGCAGTCTTGAAATGAGATTATGGTGGTCTATCATTTTAGACCAAAATTAATAAGTAAGGGCATCGCATTTCTGGTGTTTGTTTGTTAATTGTGTTGTGGTCACTTACATCAAAATAAACGTATTGGAGGACACCTGTCCTGCAACTTACAAGTTTGTAAGTTGTTCAGTAATATTTTGCCATCTTTTTTCATTTGTGTATTTAAAAAAGAAAGTGACATTCACATTGCAAAGCTTACACATTTGATCCCAGCAAGATTTTATTACTGCTGGTGTATAAAATTACCCTTACTCCACTGTTGTGGCGGTTGCTAAGTTTCATATCTGGATTTCTGTTTTCTCAAGAGTGACTATTAAAAATCTTTTAGTGCTGAAACGTGACATCATTAGTACAAGGATGAAATAGCAATCACACAATGCCTCTTTCAGTTGTAACTCTCTTCCTGACATGGTACCATATAAACTATCTGGGTTTGGTTTTTAAATGAAATGAGTTTTTGTCTTCTTACAGTACTGACACTATGTTTTATTAATATTTGTGTCATTTGTGACTTTCTAATGGAAATACATGTGTGGTTTTTTTAATGGAAACTGCTACTTAAACCAGTCTTGATAACTAGTATTTTCTGAAAAAGTGATTTAAAACACATTTCTGACTGTTGACATATTGATGTATTACAAACTTGCATCCAAATTCTAATAGCTGAAAGCTGAGTGTTTCAGAAAACCTCTCCAAGATCTCCAAAAGCATGTGCAAATTATTAGAGATGGCTCTTATAGCCAGCATCTATTTACACAATTAGAGCTGAATTGAGTTAACTTAATAACTTCCCCTTGGAGAGGGGAGGACCCAAGCAGCCATCAAGGCTAAATTCACCACTGAGCTAGGTGGTTGCAGCTTCGTTAATTTCAGTCTTAACTTCAGTAAGTTACACCAGCAAGTGATTTTGGGGGCTATGATTTGTTTAACATATGCTTCAAGTTAATACATGGTCAAGTTCTCATGTGTGCATTTAAGGGCAAAAAATTTGAGTGTTAAATGTGTGTTTTGTATCTCTTTACCATACTTATGCCCTTTACTAAAATACCTACTTTACAATCTTTTTAAATGTATTAATCTTTGCTATACCCCTGTGAAATAAATCAGTAATTTCCAGTTCAGAAATGCATTAAAGAGAATGTAGGAGTGTGACCAGCTCATGTGAGAGGTTCAGAGCAAAGAAAGGCTTCGATCTCACTCGCTCCTATCTGACGCTGAACTATGCGGCAGCTGAACCATCCTTCCTCTCTCAAATAGAAAACAGACTGATGCAACAGTTTGTTAGAGCTGCTGGGTGCTCTTAGCTTCTAATGACGAGAGTTATTGAAGCTCTTACAATTAGCTCTGATCTTAATTAGCCTTCAGTTGGGCCTGCAGGTTTGATAACAAAGAAGCCACAAACATGTAACACTTGCAGACAAGACTTGTTTCACAGATTTTATGGACAAGTTTTCCATTCTATTTGTGGTTGTTTCTGGTCTTGTTGTGATTTAGGACCTAATTAAATATTTTAACCATGCCAATTATCTTTATGTTGGTCAGGGCTATAAAACTTGCTCATTCCGCAGGTGAAAATTATGCAATTTAACTTCAGCATGAAATTCAACTCACAGAAAGTCTTGAACACTCTTGCTTCCCGAGATGGGCAATTTTTAGGTAATAACCCAGTTCTTCTTGCAGCTCTATTTTGAAGGACTTTGTTCTGTCATTTCTGCCTTTTTCTGAGCATGTTTAAAGTTGTTACCCGAGATAGTGGGACAGTTTAGATCTTCGTGTGATTTATTTTTTTTTTGGCTACCTTTTTTGAGGTGGTAGGGTGTAGCAGCTTTCTCAGGTCCTGCTAAAGCAAAGATTTAGATAAGAGTAAGTTGAGTTAGTCAGTTTTCAGTTAGGTTGTGCTCTTGTTTTTGTTTTAAACAAGAAAAAAGTACCCATCCTAGGAAGATCTTAGGATAACTCTTAGTTGGCCTTTTGCTAGGTAACCAAAACTTCTTGTTCAGAACTGTTTGATAGAAAATGCTGGTTGGTGATTGTTAGACAGGTATGTGTGAAGCTCTCTGTGTTTGCTTCTTTTTTGGCTAGTACTGTATTTATAACGAGTTTTACTCATAGATGAGAAAGATGCACAAACTCGTCTAATGGGAAGTTCCAATTTTTTTAAGCTTGGTAATCAAACTTGTGCACATATTCGGACGAGTAACAGCAATCTGGGAGTTGTTCATCTAGCAGGAAAATACAAAAATGAAAAAAGGCAAATTACGTCTGCTCATAAGGCTTCAAAGGAGATTCCTTTATCCTAAGACAGGAGCAGTTACATATAGGTTACTTCTGACCAGTGTTTTACCAGCTGCTGCAGTGATGAGGGTTCTCCATCCTCCTACCACAGTCTGTTCACCACCTTACGTCCCCTACCTGAGATATGTTTGGGTATTTTGCTGCAGAGAAGCTAAAAAAATTAACCCATTAAATGATGAGGTCCCATTTTATTCTCATACCATTCAGCGTATACAAGTGTGAAGTTTGTCCTAGCATGGAACCTGAAACTTTTCAGAGACCTACAAGGCTGATCACTGCATTTTGAGTGCTGAACGAGAGCTTTTTTGTATGAAATTTTCATCTAAACTGTCGTATGTTCTAATAACAGATATTATTTGTTCCCAGACAAACCTCTTGTGTTTGGCTGGTGTCTGAACCATGTTTTTATAGTAATGGTAAATGTGGAAGAGTAGATTATGCCTGGCAGCGTATGTTTATCATTGTTTACGAAAGCTGTGAATAAGCGGAATGATTGGGGAGCTTCGCAGTTGAAAATAGCATGTGGAACTTCCTCTCAAAACCTCACCATTCCTGCTGTTTATAAATGTAAGAGATCGTCATGCTGCTAAATGCCACTGTCACTTGAGAAATACCACTTCAGTGTCGGAAAGTGCCAAATCACCAAGCTGTTCATGCTCAGATGTTTTGTAAATTCAGTGTAATTAGATAAACCACTCCTGCTTCTGTATCTCTTGGAGGTACCAGACTTAACATGTCTGAAGAGAGAGACCTCCTGAACCACGTGTCTGACGTGGAAGCAGAAAACATGTAGGAAGATTTTTTTTTTTTTTTTCGTCTAGTACATTATTTCAAAGCAGGACACTGGGCAAACTGAACAGGCAGAAGGACGTTAATGAGATTCTCTCGTAGTGAGGCTGTCCAGTAATGGGATTGTACATAAGGCTGCCTTGTGAAGCGATAAACTGCTACCGAGTCCGTGCTCACAGCATGGCAGGTTTTTTCTGCAGGGGCGTCAGGCTGGGAAACAGAAGTATGTCCGGATTTGTTCCCCTCCTTTAGGACAGCAGGATTCTTACCATTATGTGTTGCACATAAAACAAGTGCAGAGCAGGATTCTGCTAGCTAGAAGCAGTCTGGCTTTATGAGACAATTACAGCTGAATGAAATGCCTACCCTCGTTGTCTGCTGTCTCTTTCCATCTGCAGCAAATCGTGTGATGGTCAAGTACATTTCCAGCATCTGATACTTCCCCTGTTATTCTTGGCTGTGATGAAATGAGGACACTCTGAAGCCATCTGGTGATAATATTCCACATTTCTTCAGGGATGTCTTGGGTTCCAGATCAATGGAAAAAGCCAGCAGTTGTAGAGAAATTGCTCTTGCACTTTCTCAAAAGAACTAGTTGCTCTGTTGTCTAGAGCTATTTTTCCATCATTGCACCTTCATTTTGGAAGTAAATGTAATTGTTCGTTAAATAAGATAAACGATCTTTCTCGTATGCAGAAATTAAGTTGCAATAATAACAATTCGCAGTGCACATTTTCATTTTGAAAGGCCATTATAGTTTTCACATTGCTTTGTATTTATTTATAAATATGAAACGAGATACTAATATTTAAATGTCCTATAATGTATCTTCACTCTGGCTATCAGAAAGATCATCAGATTTGTTTTTTCTTCAAAGAAATATGCATGTAAGGTTTTGTCATTCTTCAAATTATCCAGTTTCAGCTCTTTTCCTTTTTTCTTTTTCTATCTAGCAACAAAAGCCACAACTCCCTAATATGTGTATAATATGTATTGTTTAAAAAAATCCTGTTTCCTCTTAACAGTATCAGCGCTTTTTTTTTCTAGGATTAGTTGTCATAGATGACATTTATATTAAAAATACTAAATATATATAAAAGGGACAAAAGTCACACAACATTAAAAAACAAACAAACAAACAAAAAAAACAAGTTCCCTTAATCCTAGGTGCTATCTACTTTTTACCAGTCTTTAAAATTAAAAGTTGCTAAATTTCTTCTTTAAAAAGATGGCAATTCCACATCTCTTGACAGCTGGCTTGTTCGTTTGGCAACCTTTTCTAGGCTGAGCAACTGTTACCACATGCAGCACTGTTCCTTCCCCTCTACAACTCTTACCTTTCTAGGTTCTTGTTTGCATACAGTGTGTGTGTGTATTGTGCACAAAAGAAAAATACGCATCTGTAATTGATTAGTGTCTGGTAGGGTGCAATGAATCCTCCTGTGCCTTTAACACCTGTTACATTATCTCAGGAATATCTGTGAGATATTTGAGATCAGTAAATGAAGTACTATGCAATGTATTCAGTAAGCATTCACAAAAACCATTAGCTTTTCAGGATGGAGGAGCTGAATTTCTATATGAGGCTCTTTTTTTCTTTCTTTCTTTTTTTTTTTTTTTTTCATTAATTCCCTTTTCAAATTTTGGCTGTGCCAGGTCAGGAAAGATCCTGGTTAAAGATCCTGGTTCTTTCTTTTTTTCAGTGTTCAATCCCAATGGCTTTGTTTAAGGTAACGTTTCCTTAGTAAGGACTGATGGAAGAAAATCCCTGTATGCACATACGAAAACAAGCAACTAAACAAGTTGTTGAAATTATATGAACTACATGAAAGAAAACACTGAAGAGCATGGACTTTTTAAAATTGATACTGATTTACTTCAAGTAGAAGTGAGTGTCATGGTATTTCTGTAACATACATGCTGTCTGTATTCAAACAAACCCAACTAATTTTTTCAGTTTAGACTTCCTTTTAGCCACTTGGCAAGTATTTTCCATCCTATTTTTATTTGTACTATAATCACCATGATTTTATATGCCAGTTGGATTAATCTGTGTGGCAATTGAAACTGAAGCACTTCCATTCATCATCTCGTTTTAATTCAGGTCTGCACAATTCTGCTCAGTGTTGGCTTTTATGTCAATTTTGGACAAATAGCGAAAGGAGGAAGGATGTGCCTGGAAAGAAGCAAACGTGGGTTTTTTTCTTCGTATGTTTTTGCATACAATTCATTTCAATGGCAAAAGAGTAAATAGAATAACTGCATGAGAGTGGTGTTTTAAATATAGCTCAAATCACTAGTGGGCTTAATTCCAGTTTTGTTTATAAATAAGTGTTTCTAGTTGTGTTTTGTAGGCAGAGCTCAAGTTCATTCTCACTGGGTTTAGCTGTGCTTCTGTGACTTCCTGGTGTCTTGGCAGCGTCAAAAGGATTAACCGCAATATTGAAAACATGGAGGGGAGGGGGGCAGCAGGGAGGGAAAATCCTGTTAAAATATCAAGAGCAAGACTATTCTAAATTCTTTGAACTAGCTCTTTTGGGATTTTCATCCTCTGAGTCACAAGGGTTGTAGAAAGGAGTAGATTTAAAGGCTACTTTTGTTTGGAGAAATACTGAATTTCAGACTGTAAGCCAGGAAAAGTTTATCAGGATGAGCTGCAAGGGCTCTCCAGCCTCTCAGCTAGAGAGAGACTATCATTATAGCCACATATATTGTGTTGAAAGGAAATGACTTAATATTTTCTATGAAAAAGTTAGCTTCCTCTATATAAAATGTCACTTGTCAAAAGCATCTTTTCCTCATTTTGCACAATCTAATAGGAAACATCTTGTTCAGATACATTCAGTTCTCTGTTTTCCATGTGTTAGCTCTTGGAAGGATAAGCTGTTGTCTACTGATAGGAGCAAAAGAGCAGTGGTAGGACATCCTGGTTTTTAATTATTGCTGTAAAAGCTAATTCCTCGTTGGCTTTGGGCAATTTGCTTTATCCTGTTTTATCTGAGGTGCCATTTAATCCTTGAGCTGGGAAGGGCAGCAATAGTTAGTATTTCATCTGCTGGGATGAGTAAGAAGTAAACCTTTAACGTGGTATTTGGGATTTTTTTCAACAATTTAGAACAGTTACCATCTATAAATTGTTACTATTGTATTGATGTCTGTAAAGAATATATTCTAGTTCTGATTCTTGCTGTCTGTCCTCCTGTTAACTTTTCATTTCATGTTTAACTCTTTTTGAAGGCAAGGAGCTGGAATAAGGAGCATCCTTCTAATGAACAGATAGGTTCTGCAGAACCATCTCCTCTTGAGATCCCTTATTTGTCTTATGCTCAAGGAAAGCCATTTCTCTTGTTGGTTGCCAGAGGAAGACACAATTTACGTCTTTCCCACTTTGTACAATTCATTAGTCTTCTAGATAGAGTGTTGTTTTTTTTTTAAGGTGCATGTATGCTAAAGGGCAGGCAGTACTTCTTAGCTGGACTGGTATGGCTGGAAATGGCTAACAAGTCCTTCGGGTAGCAAGCAGAAACTGCGTTGTCCTGAGTTTGCTTCTGCATTGCCCAGCTGGCTATGGCTCATCATCTCCATGTGCTTACTGGGAACTCCTAAAACATCCTGCTTGGAGACCCCCGGGCACCTGGCACACCGTCACTGTAACTCTCCAGTTTCCTTTACAGAGCACGCGCGGGTTGCAGTGGTATCTGAGGGCAGGGGAAGCTGCCGGTGTCTCGCCACTCCTGTAGAACCAGTAGAGCAGTGCTCGGTGGAGTGACCCAGGAACACCCGAGTGGAGAAGTAAACTCGTGCTGCTAAGGGGCAAACTACCCAAGTGATGTTTGTGCACTTCCTGGCACCTGTTAGCTTGGCAAAATTGATGTTGCGGTAAGGATAGTGCTTTATAAATAAACTTTTCAGGAATAGTAGCAGAAATAATTTTAGGACAAGTATAAAGGGCAGTCATGGAGAGTGACTAAAGCCTGTGAGCCCTCTCTGAAGCAGTGATGAAAGAGAGGTGGACGATTAGGAAGAGTTAATGCTGGAACCTCTGCTGGCTGTGTGCCCAACAGCTAGCCAGCATAGATGGCTAACAGCAGTTGCAGTAGCCGGAGTGCATGTGGGCATGGATAGCTTCTCTGCTGGCGTCTCCACCTCTGCAGTCCTGTGCCCTTCCCTTTTGTTCCCTGCAAAACCTACAAATGGACGAAAGTTGAGGAAAATTTTAGAATTGACACCTTCTTTCCATTTCCTTAGATCAGCTCTGCATACACATCTGGCTTCAGAACAGTGTCTGAGTGAATCGTTGGTGAAAGGAACATAAGAGTCATACCTTTTTTCCCCCCTCAGAATTAGTGAATTTGATTTTTAATATGAACATTTTAATTAACAATTATTGTATGCCTTGTACAAAAAGCAGATACAGGAGTTTTCGCTTCATGATGTGGCCTGTATCTTATTAATGATCCCACCAGTCACAGCCACAGAATCGTAGGATGGGTAAGGTTGGAAGGGATCTCTGGAGATTTTCTAGTCCATGCCCCATCCTGACTTAAAGCAAGGTCAGATGGAGTGGGTTGCTCAGGACTGTGTGCAGCTGGGTTTTGAATATCTCCAAGAACGGCAGCTCTGCAGCCTGTTCTAGGCAGCTGTTCCAGTTCTCAATTGTATGTACAGGTGAAGCTTCCCTTTGTGTTCAAAAAGTGTTCCTTATAGGTAGCTTGTGTCCATTGCCTCTTGTCCTTTCATTAGATACCACTGAGAAGAAACAGACTCGTCTTTACTTCCTCCTGTCACATTTACATATGTTGATAAAATCTCCCCTGAGCCTTCAGGCTGAACAGTCACAGCTCCCTCAGCCTCACCTCCTCTGATGGATATTCCTGTCCCTTAATCATCTCTTTGGTCCTGTCCTGGAACTGCTTCAGTATGTCCTTATATTTCTTCCATAGGGCCCTGAACTGTACCCAGCACTCCAGGTTTGTGTCACTAGCACTGAGTAGGGAGGAAGGATCACCTCCCTTGACCTGCTTGTCCTAATGTGGCCCAAGATGCCATTGGCCTCCTTCGCCATGAATGCACGTTGTTGGTTCATGGTCCGTTGCTGCCCACCAGAAGCCCTGGTGACATTTCTGTGGGGCTGCTTTCCAGCGGGGTGGCCCTTGGTCTGTATCAGCACATGGGACTATTCCCTCCCAGGTGCAGGACTTTGCATTTTCCTTTGCTGAAGTGCATGGAGTTCCTGTCAGCCCATTCCCTCCAGCATGTTGAGGTCCCTGTGAATGGCAGCACAACCCTCTGGTGTATCATCCGCAAGCTTACCACCAGTTGACTTGTCACCCAGGTCATTAATGAAGTTAATGAATAGTACTCAATGAATCGTCATTAAAGGATAGTACTGGCCTCACTGTCAACTCCTGAGGATACACGGCTCGTGACAGGCCTCCAGCTGAACTTTATTTGGCTGATCACAGCCCTCAGGGCTCAGCCATCCAGCCAGTGTTGAGTTCACTTCACTGTTTATGTAGCCCATACTTTGAACGCTTGTCTATAAGGGAGTTACACGGGACAGTGTCAAAAGCCTTACTAAAGTCAAGGTAAACACCATACACTGTTCTCCTCAGCCACTGAACCAGTCATGTCATTGGAGGCCAGTAAGTTGGTTAAGTGCTATTTACCTGTCATAAATCCATACTGAGTACTCTCAGTGACCTTCTTGTCCTTCACGTGTTTGAAAATGGTTTCCGGGATTACTTGCTACGTCATCTTCCAGGGATCGAGGTGAGGGCAAGCAGCCTGTAGCTCCGTGAATCCTTCTTCTAGTCCTTCTCTAAGATGAGTGAAATTTTCTTCCAGTCCTTTTAGCAACTGTAAAGGTTGTATAGGAATGCTTATCCTCTAAGGTATCTTCTCATTTTTCTGCAATTTGAATTATTCTAGCAAGTAAAATGAAATGATATCTCGCATATCTAGTAAGCATGCATTTCAGTTATATCAATTGTATGTATTGGGGAAGAAATTTGAGGAAAGTTTGGTGAAACAGGTTTCCTAAAATGCCTTTTCCTTTGAAGGAAAGGATAGGAAGCTGCCTTAGGAAGCTTGTCAAACTCTTCTGCAATATAAGAGTACTTGCCATTTTTTGGATTTCCTATTTAAAATATGTGAGATGAATCTAATTAGATGTATGTAATGGAATTATATTTCATCTATATAGTTGCTAAGTTAAACCAGCAGTAGTGCTGTGCTTCCAAAAGCTGAGGAAAGCAACAAACAAAATTACAGTCCTCTGTTAGGTTCCACATAACTCTGCTACTAAGACTTATCCTTTTTCCCTGTAAGTATGTGCCTAATTGCAGCATTGATTAGAGCTGCATGTTCACTAAAAGGGAAAATTGACCCCCATTGAGAGTAGGTGGTGGATTAGGTTTTTTTATTAACAAACCATCTGCTTGTGTGTGTACTGAAGACACGTTGGATGTTCTCTTCAAAATAAAGTGACAATTTGAGTCAATAAACAGGTTTTACTGGCATCTAATTCTTGTAAAAGAGTTAACCTATCTGCATGTTTGCCGTGGTACTGTGACTGACAGAAATGAAAGTTCTGCTTCCATTCCTTCCTGTCTTGGTTTGTGTGTTGTGTTTTTTTCAGGCAAACTATGATCTTACGCAATAAGAATGCTTTTATTTTAGCCATGGGTTTAAACGGAGGTGGTGGCTTTTGTTTATCTTTGTGTTTTCCTTGTTGCCTCAGTTATAGCAGTGTGAGCACTGTTGTGAAGATCAGCTGTGCTACTGGCCATTTAACTGGAACCAACTGTAACTGGATAAAAGCACAAGTTCACAGATAACTTTTAGTATGTAGTTATGCTTTGTTTTAGAACTTACAATGGAGCAATGGGTTGGAAACTTATAATGGGGCAACTATGGGAAACAATTTCCCCATACCTTTAAACTATATGACTTAGCTAATGTGATTCTTTATTTTCTGGAATTAAGCACAAGCTTATTCATCTGTCATAATATGTATTATAAATGCTGCTTCTGGTTTTATATTTTAGGTCTAAAAATATCTGGAGGGGGATTAAGTGGTTCAACAAGTAACGCTCTAATGGATGACAGAGAATTTCCACCAAATGATCTACAAATAGACTCCAAAGACAATCTTCAAGATGACTATAGGGTGGAAAGTTTGGCTTCGTATTTGGTTTCTTCACCTGATGAAAATGAAAATCAACTTGACAATGACGGGAATGAGGTTCTGACCAGTAGTAGAACTGCTATGGGAAGGCAGGACAAAGGTGAGCAGGACAGCATCAACAATAATGAGAATATGGACAGTGGAGACTGTACCCCAAGCTGTAAGGAAAGGGAGACTGAAAGGACATCTGTAAAAGTCCATATGGACCCCCAGATGGAGGAAAAGCCTGTTATAGAAAAGCAGCAAGGTGGAAAAAGAAGTCCAAGAAGCAAAAGAAGCTCCGGAAAAAAATCTAAAGGTACTTTCTAAAAAACATGTTTTTATTCTGTTTACTTAAAATAATAAAACTGTAGTTTTAATCCGTGAAGTGGTAAGCAAGTTATATTGTAGGTGCCACAGTAATTATTTTCATGTTTCACTAAAATATGTTAATAGTACCAAATCAGATTCAATTCTAGAAGTTTTCATTGTCTGTATTTGAATTAGTGAGCTATGTAACACATGGAACACACTGACGAAGGATGATGAGTAGAGGGAGGTGCAGAGTTTCAGTATGGAAACTGGTCTGACTTCCAAATCATAATGGCCTGAAATTCAGGCAGTATGTTTTGGTTTATTTTAGGTGTTGAAATGCAAGATTTTGGTGTCTTGATATAGAGTCAAGATTTGACATCCTGGTATGAGTACCAAATATCTTGATTTTGGCCTGTTGCCATCAGAATTTACTTAGGTTGTTTAAAGCTTGATACATAGTGCTAGATTTGCATTTCAGGTAATGAGACACTCAACAGATATATTTCTCCCAATTTTTCATGTTACTTCTCCTTTATATCTTTTGGATCTGAATTCGGTAAGGAAGATGTAAAAGTTTATTATATGTTCTTATTTGAGATGTTTATTCCCTTTTTGAATGAGTAAGATTTGTCTGCATCATTATGCATATTAGGATTATGCCATAAATCATATATCTTATGTGTCATAGTGCTGCAAATATATTAATTAAAATCAGTGTATTTCATCCCATTGGTATCTTTTCAAAACTTACTTGGAATAACTGAGTCACTCCTTTTTTTTTTTCCTGTATTTTTTTCTTCTAAGGATTGGGAAGATGGGGAATTTGGCAGTTTAAAATAGGTAGTTTTAAAATACAATTTTCTTGCCAGAATTCTTCTATGGCCTATTTCTGCTACACGATGATGTTCTAAAGGGACTGCAAAATAGGTAAAGAAAGGAAAAGGAAGGAAGCTTGTGTTCCATATCTTGTACATACAGGCAAGATCTAGAAGAGAAAAAATATGTTTTCTAGTAAAGATTAGAGGATGCTGAAATCTGTCGTCACAAGGAGAATGATTTGTCCGTAAATAATGAAGAAAATCAGTGAGTATGTCTTTCAATTGTAGATCTCATGTTTAAAAAGATAAGTAAAATAAAAGAGGGATTGGAAGAAGTAATTGAGGACTAGTAGTGGAATAAAAAAAAAATAAAAAAATAAAAAAAAAAAAAAGAAATGTAATATAGATCTGTGGACAGAAGTGTCTGAAGTATGGTGAGAGGGAGAAATAAATAAATTTATCCAAACACTGAAAGTTATGCTTTGCCCATATTCTCTTTCCGCTAGCTTGTATTCTTGATGATAAATGCAATCACCAGATGCAGAAGTACCACAGAAACAGCTGTGCACAGTAGATGGGAGTTCTAAGGCAGAAAGCTGAAATAAAGACAACTTCCTGAAAAACCTAGAGATGCAGAATACCACAAAAGGGAAGAATATCCTGCCTGCAAAGTTTAAGGAGTTTTGTTGGGAATAAAAATAGAATCCCTGTGAACAAACGCTAACTACTTATTAATAAAGAACCTGGATCGTTACAGTAGGAAGATCAAAATACAAAATTACATCTTGTTTCCCATTGACTCTGGGTTAATTTCCATTAAGCTTTGTAGTTATCATCACATGGTGGTTCTCCTGTTTTCACACAGTGCAGTGACTGTCACAATTTCTTGATGTTGCAGATGTCTTTATTTTAGTGAAAACCTTCCTCTTTCATTTTTAACACCAGCTATTTTAACTATTTCTTGAGTATTCCTCTAGTGTCCCTCTACATAAAGAACCAAACCAGCTTTCTGTGCGTATACCGATTCAGAGAGAGAATAATCAAACAGAGGAAAATCACTGAATGGGTGACAGCAGAGAGTTACACAATCCAGTTAGAATCTCAGATTGAATACTTGCAGGACATGTATTATATTTTTTAGATATTTTTTAATTTTTATTTTTAACTATCGAAAAATCATGGATGAGCTGGCTTTGACTCATAGATACAGAAGAGTGTTACGAATCGTCCTCTCTTCTTATATAAGCAAACCTGTTCCTGTCGCTGTTAAGTGTTAAAAAATCTGGAAAAGCTGATGTTTGACTTAAATAACACGTCTGTATCTAGTCACTTGCTGGTATCTAAGGGAGTGAACTTGGAGTATGGAAACCTACCTTCTATTTTTTTGGACATGCTCAGCAGAAGATTAGTGATCACTAGAGAAGTCACTATCCCACTCTGAACACACATTTTTACTTCAGAAGAAAGAGCGAGTACTGCCACTTGCAGAGTGTTTGAAACCCTCTAAATATTTTCTTATGAGGTATAAACAACTACAAGTATTTGACTGTTATGTTTCTGTATATACTTGCAACGTGTAGGAGCTACAATTATCCTAGCTTCTACAATCAGTGGCAGAGATGCAGGATTTACTGTAGCAGTTGAAGATCCATCTTGTTGAATGTCCTGCCTCTCACAGTGGTCAGTAGAGGATTGCTAAATAAGAGTTACAAGGAGAAGGTGAGGAGAGGTATTTGATAGTGTCTTCTCCTTGCCACCCGAAATTGCCCATTGAGGAGCTCCCTGGGTGAGGATTGACAGAACCCAATGGTTTCCAGTGAATTTGCCGCCTGACTTGAGTTGTTTCTCCCATTCTTTTTGTTCACTAATAATAGCTTTGAATAAATATATCTGATAAGGAGGCCACTGGCGATCAAAGATGTGATGTAACTATAAATGGACCAATTTAAACCTTGATGATTATTCATCCTTGGATTCCTTGTAGTGAATCGTACTTGCTGGAGTGTGATAGAGATGGTGATTCATGGAGCATCATCTGCCTCAATGTATTTTTATAAATGTGGATCTCAAATTATCCCTGTTCCCTGCAAATAATTTAGTCTTTTTCTGAAAGGTCATCCCTGGCATAATTGGTAACTTCATATTGTAGAATCACACTGTGTAATTCATGAAGATAGTAGCATGGTGTCTTGCACTTGATTGCTTTTCCTGGTGTTAAATTCTGCAACACACAATTTTCCTGTAATTATTCAACTTATTTCATGAAGTAGCATAAAGACAGGAGAGAAAGTGAAGCGGTTGTAATTGATTTGGTGTTGCAGCAAATTAAACACATGAATATAAACTGGTCGCATTTTATGGACAGCCAAGCAGAGTCATTTTACCTGTTTGCCATGCTAAACAAGATTTTGGGCTTGCTCTGCTGTAGTTTGATCTTTAACAATGTTCCCCCCGATACTCTTGTCTTAAAAAATATAATAATAATCTCTTAAAAATTAGGTATTTTCAAAATACTTAAATACTACAGGGTGGTGGTGGTGGTGGTATTTTTTTATGGTTCTTGAATGACTCAGTCTGAACCAGAGTACCAAAAATGTTTTTAAAAAAATAAATAATGTTCTGTACTAGAAACTTCTGTTACTGTTGAAAGACAAAACTGATGTTATCAAATACGAAAATTAAAGTTGAATTGAAAAATAGAGGACAGTATCTGTAAGTTTATTTTGATAGCTTGAACTGGTAGCAAATGCTACATACTTGCACATCTGACATTTCCAAGCAGGTGAGAAGAACATCTTGATTTCATATACTGGAAGTACTGACAAAAGCATAAGTGAGACATGGAAGAATGCATTTGTTATTTCCATTCAGAAGGCCGGTCGAAGTTGGAATTTTCTTCAGACACAGGGCTGCTTCGGTGAACTTTTAGAAAACTTACAAGAAAGCTTGCATCTCTCCTTGTCTTAGGAATTGTTGGCACTCCCAGTTGGGCACAGAAGATGTCAGTTAAAACTTTGCGAGTCTGGCAGGTCAGGGACTTCAACTTAGGTATTTGCCATATTCCAAATGAGTGCTCTCACCACTGAAGAGGTGATATCTTCTGTTTGGTTGTGTTTTTTTGTTTGTTTGTTTTTCTCCACGTTCCTTTTCACAAAGGATTTGGTTCCGCTCTAGAATGGAAGAGTGAGCTTTTCAGTGTTCATGTTTTGCAAAGTGGGGAAAAAAAATATCTTTGTTTCTTTAAATATCAGACATATACATAAGATAACTGCCTTTTGTCATGGTTTGTTGTTTTTTTTTTTCCAAATCTGCTTTAGACAGTAAGATTGAGTTCGATGAAGAAGTGGTGGTGTGTGTCCTTTTTAAGAATGTGGAGAATGCATAGATACAGTGGGATCTTGTCCCATAAAACTTTTATGATAAAATTATATTCCTAAGTGCTGTTGCCACAAGAAACATTCTTGGTTTTGTAGTTACCGAGGCACAAATGCTGTCCTGGGTTTTGAATGATCCTGAATGGCTCCAATGTGTTGTTTCAACTTCAGTGTAGTAAGTTGAGGGCAGAATTGGATTCCTGGTGGGTGACAGCTCAACTATATATAGGAACAATATGCAGTGTATCAACTATGTATTAGAGCAACGGTACCAAAATAACATTAAACTGAAGTTGTTTTTTGTGATGGTTGCCATTGTGAGTGTTTCGTGTTTTGATGTGACGGGTGTTTATTAACTCCTTAATCAAATGCAGTTTGAAGTGACTTTTTTTTCCAGAGAAAGGTTTGCTAAAATACTTGGACCCTCTTCTTATTTCATGACCATGTGCTGAACAGACACTTGCCTCTTTAAATACAGCCTTCATTCCATCACTAAAAACACCTTCTTGTTTGCATCTTGAATCCATTTATGCCTCCTGTTGCTTTTGGCCCACAGTAAGTGCAAATAAATACTTGAAGAGCAGAGATGTACATTAATATTGAAAAAGCACTATTAAATTACACCCGTATTTTGTCTGGCAATAAGCCCTGCAGAAACAGCCACCCACAGAGATTATTAGTGCTCCTGACCTGGATAGTTTACAATAAAGAGTTTGTAAATAACCAAAAATAGAACGGTAGAGCCTTCAGCAGACAAGTCAATGCCTTTCTTAAGCCCTAAATCTCGAACCTGAATCATCACTGCAGGGTTTCAGTGAACACAAGGGAGTCTGAAACAGCTGAGTGCTCAAGCTGCTGAAACAGCACCAGAGTGATGGTTCCAAGAAGAGATGCTTATTGCTGGGAGTAGGTTAGGTTGACACAGTGTCCCCATGCATCCTGCTTTTAACTGATAACGTGATTTCCAGAAAATGGGTGTAGTTCAGGAATAACATACTCATCATAACTTGAGTTAATAAAAGTTTTTATAGTGCACTTCTTGGTGTCTTGGTGTATGTATCATCTATGCAGGATGCTTTTTATATGTTGTCTAACTAATCAAGAAGGTAACTTCAATAAATTTTTAATTTCACAAACATATTTGGTGACTAAAAATATCTATGGAGCTGTGAGTGGCATTATTTTTTTCTTTACTTACTTATTTGTTATATTTGTTACACATTTTCTTTTCATAAAAATGCACTGAATTTGATACATTTATAGGAAAGATTTTTTTTTAATATAAATTGTTCATGAATTGGAGGAATCAACTCTAGTTGATTCTGGGTAAGCACCTGCTCTCATGTGCCGGTTTAATCAACACAAGATAGTCCATTCAGCTTGTCCCACCTTCTCTACCTCACAAGTCTCTATCCTGTCCCCACTCGTCTTTCTTTTCTCCTAGGTGAAGAGTCCAGATGTAATAGTTTTTCCTGATGCACCCTAACTCCTAATTTACTCAGAGTTTTGATCATTTCAGTTGTTCTCTGTACTTGCTGTTAATCCTGTATACCTGTCTTGAGATAAGAGATGGGAACTGTGCTGCCAAAATGCTGGTAGTGCAAGTCAGCAAAACCGTATCTTGTGTTTTGTTCTCAGCAGCCTCTCTGGTTGTGTCCAACGTTTTGTTGGTTTTTCTTTTGGCACATGCTGCACATCGGCTGATGATTCCACAGAGCTGCCAACAATGACTCCAAGGTCTTTCCTGACTTTTCTTCATCTGGTTATGAAACTGGAATTTTACAGGCAATAGTTTAGATAATTCTCATAGAATTACTACTTTTACCTACACTGCATCTCATCTGCCACCTTCTTGCCTGCTCAAGTTTTTGAGGTCCTTCTGAACTTCTTCACCTTGGTTCCAAAGACGTTAGTATCATTTGCACAGTTTGAAATTTCATCAACCATCTTTGGCTTGGAGAAGGAAGTGAAGATACTGAGTTAAAAATGGTCCGTGATAGTCCCTGTCACCCTGGAGTATCCCACCACTGACTTTTTTCCGTTTTCAAGAGGAAGCATCGGGCCCTACCTTTGCTTCCAGTCCTTCAAGAACCTGTCCTCCCATGTGCTGGCCACTTTTCATTTCTAGAAGAAAACCGGGATTTGCACCCAGAAAATTTTTACCTGTAGTATTTTTACTCTGTTAAAATACATGGTCCTTCACCATGCCAGTCCTTCACCTGCATGCCCACCTTTTTTGCTTCTCTAAAAATAGGCAGGCAACAGTGAACTGGGAGGGAGTGTACCATGGAGGTCCTGGTTTTCGGCCTATCAGGAAGTTCTGGTGGTTCAATTCAGTTTGCGTTTCCTTGTGTCATTGGTACCAACAAATCATGGCTAGTAGTTCATCTCCTGGACTCCCAAATAAATAGTCTGGCTCCTTGGGGGTGTGTTCCTTTTCACCCAGCAGTACGATCCTCCTGTGTTTCTGTCTCCCACAGTAGAATTCACACTGTCATCATCTACTTGATTCTGTCCTTTAAGATTCTGTCATAACCATGAGGAGATGCCGTGTTATCATCTGAGGGAGGTTAAATTCACTTTCCCAGCAGGAACTTTTCCTTCCTTGGGGCTTCTCCTCTACAAGCGCCTTAGCAGGCATGAAGGGACCGACCAAGAACCTCATTCACATTCTCCTGGCCTACCCAGGACAGCCTCTCTGTGCATCCTCGGTTGGTCCCAGCCAACTCGCAGGCACACCCCTGGCTCAGGTGGCCACCACCTGAACCCCTGCTCATCACACAAACTGCTCCCTGCCTGCCTGCTGTTCATTCATTCTTCTTTTGTCCCATCTGAGCAAAACCGTGTTGCAAAAAATGTAACATCAGCCACAACACTTTTTTTTTAGGTCATCCTGGTCTGCTTTAATCACTGTCAAACAGTTTAGGCTAGGTGTTTTTTCATCCAAAGTTAAAGTTGGATCCCAGATAGTAGTGTACAAGAACAGCTGTTGTGTGTCTGTCTTTTCAGGTAGGTGAGCTGACAGTAAGACAGACCTATTGCAGCTAGCTTTGACAAAGCCAAAATTTTATTTATGTGCAGAACTGTTATTTAAGATCCTACCTTTTTATTCACAGCTATTGTATTGAAATTTCCTAAAAATGCAACTTGACATTTTGAATTCCTAACCTAAATACTTGTTCTTTTTAAAGGAGTCCCTTCAGTGGGAACCACAGCAATCAAGGAGGAAAATACTCTTGTTACACGTACAGATTCAGTGCATGCTGAAGGTGCTGTTGAAGCAAATGAACATTCTCACCAAAAAGAACAAAACCAAACGTTGCAGTCCCTTTTCTCTTTGCTCCGTGAAGAGGTTGAGCAGATGGATTCAAAGATACTGCCCCTGTGTCTCCATCAGGTACTATCACTTTGGGTTGTTGCACTCAGCTTTGTGATTTGAGACTTTTTCTCATTAGGAGAAAGACGCATTAATTCAACATATGTCAGTGTTCGTATCTGGACAGAACAATTTGAAGTTTCTATATATAACAGAGGGTCATGGCAGATATCTCCTCTTCTAATATATGTGAAATGATAAATTACCTTGAAAGTATATTCTGCAATTAATTGAAACTCAAGGGTAAGTCTTACACACTTTAGAACAGACTTGCTTGTCTATAGAAGAGTTTTTGATAATATTATTTTTTTTCCCCAGACACTGAAGTCCTGGAGTGGGTCAGGAAGATTTAGGAAAGTTTTTTTTAGCAAAATTTTTAGGAAAAGATTTAGAAAAATAACTCTTCAAAATACCTAAAATACGTTTTGTAGGACACTGGTGTAAATAGAAGACTGCTGATGTTTAAATTATATTTTATATCGGTAATTATTTTAACCATTGCAGACTTCTTTCTAGCATGAACTTCATGCATGAATGCTGAGATTCACTCTTCCTTAGTATCTACTCTTTATCGCACAGTCACCACATGTGCAACACCAATGGAAATACTAAATACTGTGTGATTTGGAAAGCAATCTTTTTTTTTTTTTTTTTTTTTTTTTTTTTTTTTTTTACTAACTGGCAAAGTATGTTACTCTTTTGGAAGATCATGGTGCAAAATGAGTATGTGTCTAGAACTTGATTCACTGTTAATACATAGTTTGATTCTGTCAGACTGAGAATGGACTGGACAACATTTTGTTTGGCTATAACCTCTTGCAGGCTAGAGAGAGATGTGATACGGTGTCTGTTTTGACTTAGTTACATGATCCTTATTGCAGAAAATTGGATGACTGTAATATCTTAAGCTTCTTCACTTTGATGACGCTCCTGCGTCCTTGTTCTCTTTGATGTGGGTAGGAGATGATATGAGAGTCTTCCCTTTCATATCACAATTTCTAGATACTTCACATTTGATATAGGGCTTTTGTTTTGTTTTGTTTTGTCTTTTAATACTTGTGTTTAAGTGATTTTATGTTGTTCCTTAACATATTTGAAACTTAGCATTAGGGTAAACCGTTTGTACTTGTAGCCATGTTTAATTTGGTGTTTGTCCATGAGTCAGTAGAAAGGTCTCCTTTGGAAAACAATACAGTTAGGGCAAGAATTTCAAAACACTTCACAAACATTAAGGAGTGTCACTGACCACAATGGAGATGAAATCTGTTCACAGCTTCGTAGATGAGGAAGCCAAACCCTAAAGGGAACAACCTTTTCAAAGTCATACAGGAACTGTGACAGAACTGAAAACAAAATCTGAGTTTCTAGGCTCAAACATGTTAACCATACACCTTCTCTTTTTTCCTAAGACATATCAGCGTATTATATTGGAATGTGTGAAAGACATGTTTTTAATTTTGAGGTTTATATTTTTTGTTGTTTTATTCCATTTATGAACAAATCCATCAGTGTTCATCAGCTTTCTTGGAAAGTCTACCCAGTTTTCTGGCAAGCACAAGTAAGTTTTTTGCTGTTGCATATCTCAAAGAAGATTTGTCAAGAGAGGAATGGAAAGAAATACGTTTCAGTTACCAGCTTAGTTTCCCTATATAGCTTTAAACCTTTTCCTTTCTGGAATATCAGCTCTATCTTTTCTGTAGTATTCTCCATCAACAACTCAGAGACAAAGCAAAATTTAGGTTCTGCTTAAAAACACTCTTATTTTTCCGAATGTCTTTGGACACTGCTTTCTCTCAGCTGGTTGCCTGGACTCTGTTATAAAGTGGTGCCTTTGCCATTTTAGTCCAAGAGCTAGTCCTTTAAATCAGATCTGAGAAAGGGGAGGAAGAAAACAAAGGCAACAACAAAAGATACCTTCACTTGATTAACAGAAAAAATGGTTTCCGAACTGGGAACTTGACTTTTCTTCATGAAGTTCTTGCCACCTCCATGTTTGTAGTTTTGGATTTGAACTGGCTGAAAGCAAAAGCATTGTTAGCAAGAGGTTAGTACATCTAGTTCAGTAGTCTGCAGTTAAAATTCGTAGCTTTGCTGTAGCAAATCTTCACATGCCCATGTCCTTGGTATGGAAAGCTCCTTAGTGTAAATATAAGTAATGCCTTGGTAAGCATATATTTACTGTTCCTTTTTGTGGTGATCTATTAAAGATCAAAGTTGCAAAATTACGCAACCAAGGTGAAGTTTATTTTAAGATGTCACAGATAGAGATCTTGAATGCTTGGCCACAGAGATCTCTTTTTCAATTCCTAGCCATTGGCTAAGCTGATAGCTGTTATAGAATTTAATGTCAGTTTACAATTTTTTTTTAAGCTACAAGTGTTAGAGACTGACTTAGATTTTAAGTATTTCATATGTTCTTTGACGTGTTATTTCAAAGTAGTGTCTCATGTTTGGACCTTAGTAGCTGCTTTGGTACAATCTTTTTTTTTCATATTAAACTCCCTTAGCACTTTAAGGTCTAAATAATGCACTAGGGACCACTTGATTTTTTCTTGTGTCAGCTACATGGTATTTCTTTGTTTTGACATATCTGTATAAATTCAATGTCCGTGTAGGTGAACAAGTCTTGAAAATTGTGATTTTTTTTTAGTGTTTTGTTGTTTTTTATTTTTTTCTTTCCAGTGGTCTTCTTTTTGGCAGAGCTATCTTGTTATGAATCCGATTTTAATTGTTCCATTACAGAAATGTCAATTTAAGGAGGAAAAGCCTCAGATTTGTTCTGTGTCATAACAACTACAGTGCATATCAAATGGCTGCCATCTGGGTTAACTACACGACTTCTTGCTCTGTTGTTCAAGAGCTTCAGATATCAAGATGCTAGGCTTAGTGAACTGACATGGAGCAGAAGGTCCTTAGATCTTTTTAATACAGAACAGAAGCTTCATGAAAGAAAGTGGCAGAAGGTTGCTGCAATGGTGGTGTCTGGATTCTGTTGGCAGAATAGGAGTAACATGGGGGAGAAAAATAATCAGTCCTTTTATGTTTATCTCATGAATTTCCAATGCTTAAATGTGAAATATTGTAAACAGGAAGCCTGTTGGTATGTATCTGATCTTGCAATAGGTGATATTTTCAGTTTCTTTGATCCAAAGATTGTTCTTCTGTCTTCTGTCAGTAAGCCTATACTTCTCTATTTGATTTCATTGCATTGTAATGCTCAGGAGAGCTCAACAATGTCCCTTCTGTCAAACATAAGGAAGCAATGGTCAATAATAGAACTCAAACTCTTTGACCCATCTCATATCATTAAATACAATGCCTCTGTTCTAGGTTATCTTAAAACTTTCTAATATGATCATTAAAACAAAAAATGCTGAAATAAACATTTGTTGTTGTAACGAGATAAAGCCCAACTAACGTTTGGGCAAATTAATTTGTGTGAGTAGACTTAAAATTTCTTTGTTGTTTGACACTTTTTTTAAACATCTTTCCTAGAATAAGAATACATGCATTTAGTCTGAACACTTGTGTTCTATTGAAACTAAATACAAACCTACAAAACAGATGTTTAAAAACTGTAGTGAAAAGTTCTTATTACATGCTTACCACTTTCATAAAAATATAGAGAATGCTAATTTTTTTGCTTTTTTTCTTTGCAGATCGCTGAGACCTATTTTCAAGAGGAGGAATGTATCCTTTCACTTGTAAAAATTATGTGTTATTTAAATAATCTGTCATGATAAAACATAAAAGACGTACTTTACAATTGACTCACAGGCTGTGGGACAGGTGTAGAAAGAAATAAGAGCCCTAATTTACCCATGAGTGAATATATAATATGTTAGCAAGTCCTTCTTAATCAGGCATCTGGAATATGAGTTAAGTAATAAATCCACTTTCAAAACCTGTGCTGATACAATCATTAGCAGTTGTGCACAAACAAGGAAGTAAGGAAATGTTTCCAAAGGACATCTGTTTTATAGGGTAAGTTTTGTTGTAAGTACTATTAACTGGGAATATGTCCAATCCAGATAGCGCTTATATTCTCTTTTATCAAATAGGGCACTATCGTTGCAAGAACAAAATTATCATAACAGTTGATTAGAATAGGTGCTATTAGTGTCTAGATTAGAATAAAAACACCAAACACTGAGCTAAGGGAGATCAGTAACTTGCATACAATAGCAGCATGTTTTTGTCAAGTGCTGTTTAGTCCAAGTCACATTGAAGTAGTTTGAGAACCTTGTCACAGGAAACTGTGGGTAATTGCTTCTGGGAACAGCTATTTTGATTTTTTCATAGATAATGCAAACAAGTTTGATCAGCAAGTTCCAATAGCTGAACTGCTAATAGTTACTCCGATATATTTCAGTATTTCTGGGAGAGAGTAATAATATTTACATTAAAGTGAAATGATATTTTTAGAAAACCTGTACTGAGTTTTTCTCTGTTTGCTCTTGAAGAAAAATTTTCAGCCTATAAAAAGAAGAGGCAAGTGGTAAGCCCTTAAGGTATATATGCACTAAGGTGCATCATAAATTCAAAAAAATCTGTGCATACAAGATTAACAAGATTAAGAAAAACAAGATTATTTCTTTATTGTGTAATTTGTTACCTTTGTAAAAACAAACAAAATGAAGCAACTGGGCAATTATAATGATTAAATAACAAAGCAAAAGAAGCTCAGAAAGATATCCTTGAAATCTAGCCAAAATATGTTAGGCTGTAGTACAAAAACAGAGAAACTACTGTAACAATATTTTAAAAGGAATATAATAAGTGAAATACTTATCACTATCTTAGAAAACATCCATCAGAAAAAAAATATGTATATATGTAATGCAACTTAGAAAAATTGAAAAATTCTGTAGAGAAATTATTGCTCTTAATGGAAAAATACAGTAAATTTAAAATGCAGTATACACCTGACGTGTGGAATTCAACACCATGATATAATGCATATTTATGAAGGATATCTCATCTGTACTTGCAGCCATCAATTTCCTGAGGTTAATAAAGAACTTACTTCATCATGTTGCATAGTATCAATTATCCATGATGGGCATTTTAATTCATCCAGTGTAGAACTGCGTATTTAACAATAATTCAGGGTTTGTTGCTGTGATCTCCTCTCTGATCTGTAATACTGTTTCTAATAACAGACATCTTGAAGGCAGGGAATAACAAGTACCGATGGTGTATTCACAATGGTTACTTTAGTATTTTAATGAGAATGAATAATGGAATTTTTTACTATATCATTGTGAACTTCATTCAGACTACTACTATCCTTGTGTACTGTAGAATTAAATTTGAAATAGCTGACAAAACGTGGCTTTAAACAAAACAACTAACAACTGAGCACTGCTGGAACTAGAATTGTCCTAAACTATTGCAAATTAGAAAACTATCAGTATGCCTTTCTGAATACATTGATAACCTTGAAGGGAGGGTAAAGAGTTCTTCATGTGGAAGAAAAGTAAAGAGAATCTTCAGAAAAAAGAAAAAAGGTGTCTCAGCTGTCCAACAGTGTTAAATGCAGTTGTTCGAAAGAGGGTTGGTGTCTTTGTAGAGTCTGAGTTGGGAAAGTTTTTGGTTTTGTGTTTTTTTTTTTAATACTGTCACCAGCTGGTCAATAAGAAGGAGCTGTATTTATGTTTATGTTTATTGACATACAATTTAATATCTTGAGAGGCATACTAGGATTTGTGCAATGGTTTTGCTTTTCATTTCCCACAGATTTTATTTTCTGAAAACATTTGTCAGCATAGTAACATTTTGCTAACTTCTTTTCTAGAACAACTTGTTGGCCACAAGACATGGGTATAGGTAACAGCTGAAGAGAATAGGGTTTTCATTTTTGGAACTTACATGTATTTGGTTCTCGTTTGTTGTATTCATGTCTGCTATTGTTTTCTTCCTTGCGTAGAAATCTAGATGCTAACTATTACTCAGTTTGATTCAATAATGTCAAATTTCAGGTACATAATGACTGTCCTTTCAAATACAGTGTCAAATACAAATAATTCATAATATGTTTGTATACGTGTGCTTTCTTCTTTAACCTTCCATTAAGATGAGAAGGCAATGAAGTTCATTCAGCTTGAACGATTGTATCATGAGCAGCTGCTTGCTAATCTTTCTTCCATACAGGAACAGTGGGGTAAGTACAGGCTAAACTAATGTAGTAGAAGGAAGAGTTTGATTTATCTTTCTAATTAATAGAGCTTGCATTTTTACAGCTTAAAACTGTGAAACAACAAAAGTATAATTTATATCACAATTTCTCTTGTTATGAGAAAAGCTATCCTTCTTTGGATTCCTTTTTGCACATATCATGAAGAAAGCGCAAATAGTTTATTATCCTTTATTCTGTCAATTGAGATTTTGATCAACAGTTGTTTGGGGGTTATTTTTGTCTTAAGGTTTGTTAATATGATATTACAAAAATAAAGCACGTTGTGACAAAATGTGATGCTTTTTACACAGTCTGAAACAAGACTGTAGAGCGTGTGCAGAGGAGCTGTTAATATTTCTCTATGAATTAATTTAGCATGCATGTTTTATGTTAAGCAAATTTAACTTTTATAGTACTTTGCATAAAATATTTTGGTTTAATTTAGAAAGAAAATGGAAAACAGCAGTTTCTAGCCCAGTTAGAACGCTGAGGAATTCAGCTAAAGAACTGAGTAGTGAAGAGCTGGAAAAGCTTACTAAAGTTTGTTCTTCACATCAACAGTAAGTAAAAGAAAACATCATTACTTTTACAGTACTAATATGCCAGTGCAGCTGTTGTCTAATTAGTGCTATGGTTGTTTTTAAAAAGTCAATCCCAAAATAAAATCTGTATCCCATTGACTTCAGTGAATGTGCTTATGAAGTGGTTGCTGTTCCTGATATGCAATTGACATGTTTCAGTTACCATCAGTTTTCACAGTGCTCTCATACGATTTGAGGAATGTACAGGGACTAGATCTGGACTGTTTTCAGCAAGTCATTACTTTGCCAAAAACGGAGTGTTGAGTTAGTTTGTATTTTCAGCCAAAGTAAAAACTGAGAAATGTTAATTTAGGAAGAGACAGACTGCAGATCTGATGATGGTGCTTGTGCCTATACCTACTGTTCTAATCATTGTTTTTAAATACAATTGCCTAACACCTCAAACTCCAGTACTCACAACTACTCAATAGGACCTTATTTGACAATCTTTGACATTTTAGGACAATCACTAATGCTTTGAGTCATTCTTGTTACCTTCTGTTGATTTCCTATGGGTTGCTTAAACACTATGAAGCAGAAATTCTGTACTTGACTAGCGTGTCAGTCTTTGGCAAAGTTAAGAAATATTTGTTTGTACCTGCTTTGCCTGATCCAGCAGCCTCGCGAACCATTTTATCACAATATAGCAAACTTTTGAATAGTGCCTGGGGTGCACTTCTAGATAAGGGATAAGAGACCCATCAGGAAGGTGAAGATCTGTTATTTCATGGGTGAATGTCTTACCTACTAGGCCTTTTAAGGGACTGGTGAAAAAAGGATACTAGCTACCACTGAAAAAATCATCATCCAAAAGATGTTCTCTATCAGATGGAGAGAGAATTTTTTTTTCAAATACGTTTGCTTTGGCTTAGTCAGTTGGATGTAACAAAACCAAAAATATTCCTGTTGTTCACAGAGTATGATGTAGCTTCCACATTTTTTCTGTGGATGACAATACAGAAGTTGAAGAACACCCAGGCCAATCGTCAGAGCCCAGGCTGAGGTTGTTTGTTGTAGTCCGAATGCATTTGGGGGGAATCCCCAGAAAGCATAAGCCTGCATTTCCATGGGAGGTAGAGGCAGCTCTGGCACCGTAGCTGCAAGTTTATTCCCAGAGCCTGCTGCTGCTGCAAGATTCTACTTTGTGTGCCTGCAGGGTTCCTTAAGCTACATTTTATATACGTGACTTTGCAAGCTCACATGAAGATTAGTATTCAAGACTATTACAATTTATATGCCACAACTAGCAGCACCTCCCTAGGCACTGAATTCTCACCTTGTTGAGAATAACTTTGCTTTCTCCTTCCAACTCTTACATGCAGCCTCACTTTAAAATAATAAAAATTCAGTTATGTAAATCATTCCTGCAACTTGATAAAAATGAGGATTCTGTTCATGTGCCATTATTAGTTCTCTGTATAGAAAATTATTACTTTTCCAGAACTCTCTAGGCAAAAGTCTACTTGATACATTTTTTTTTTAAGATTTATGCTCAATTTATTTTGCAATTAAAATAATACTTTAAGACAGGGTCTTGGAAAATATGAGCATTTTGCTTTTTAAGTTGAAAGCAAGGTACACATCGTGCATGAATGTTTACACAGCTTGCAAAGTCCACAGTATTAGCAATGCTGAATCACCTGCGAATCCCAGTGGAGTCAGTAGGAGCTGTTCTATCTTACAGTAGCCAGAAAATATGTCCCAGTGTAAATAGTCTAAGGAGAGGCAAGTAAGGTGGTGGTGTTTGTTGTTTTTTTTTTTTCCCTTCCTCAACCTCTGTTATAGCAATCAGTATTTTTAATATCACTAGATCCTGTGTCCTTACGTGATTTTGAAAGTTGGCAGTGTTCTCTTCTAGCAAAAAGTTGTACAGGAATTTAGATCGCTTGATATGGTGCAGTAACTTATCTTTTAACTGCTTTCTTAAATAGGTGGGGCAGTGTTTGTGTTAATTGGTCTTTTGATTATATTTACATATGGTACGGATCTGTGTTTGAAATTGTCTTAGCATGCTGATGCTGTTTCAATGTTAGAAAAGTTCTGTGCTAATATTAGAGCAGAGAAAAGGCTAATAGGATTTCAGTGACATTTTTTATGAAGAATGTTGTTGCTGAGTAGTTTAATTTATTCTTTTTTTCTTTACTGCTGCAGGCCACAGGCACCCAAAAACAAGGTAAGGAGCCATTTATGTGAATTTTGCTTTGCCAAAGACTGCTAATAAATATACTACTAATATTATTAGACATAGTTTTTCCAGTTTAGTACAGAGCCACTTGAAGCTTGAATGTCTCAAAAAGTCACAGTATTCCGGTTCAAAAATGACAGGAAATGCTATCATATTTTACAGCCAGTAGCTGCAGAAATTACATGGGAAAGTGGTTGCTTGCTCCAGTTAAAGGGATCAGAGGATTCAAAGAAAAGAGAAGCTACTGCTTTTAAATCAGGTATGTGTGTGTATGTATGTACGTGTACATGCATTTGCTTGAAATATTGTCCTGTAATAACGTATTCCTATAAAAATTATGAAGCTCTTTCACTTGAAGCTGCAGTTGGATTCCCACAGATTCATCCATTTTTGCATTTTATTATTTTTTTCAAAAATAATTCTGCAATGGACATGTTATGCAATTGTAATTAGTCATTGATACTCAGAATTGTAATTAGTAATTCTAGCCCCCATCAAAAGAGTTACTTTTAAATGAGAATGTGAGCATGTGTTTACAGCAGCCTCCATAAGGTACAAAACTGTGTAAAACTAGACATGTAAAACTATATGGTGTACAATCTGATGATAGATAATAATAATTATACAAATAGTGGCCAATCAGTATACTTAAAAATATTATTAACTAGTTTAATTATATGTGCTACACTGATTTGGGGCTATATATTTCTATAACAGCACAGAAAATTGAGGAGCCTTTTGGGTTTCTTAAAGAGAAAACTATAGTTCTGTTAATTTTTTTTGGATGTACTTTTATGTCATTTTCATCCTCCTGCCTTGGGGAGCAGCTGCTTTATTTGAGAAATATGTTAGAATCATTGGGGTCTTATGAAACATTTGCCATTTAATGAATTGTTAAAATGGAGACAGAGAGGGAAACAGCATCATTAGGCTACTAGGCTGTGCTTTATCTTTCTCTCTTTGAGCAAAAATGTTCTCTTTATGCTGCAGTCCAGTTGCCAAAAATAGCTTGAACTTGAGGACCTTTCCTCAAAAACAGACAGAATTTCTCACGAGATGAGGGTTGGCCTAGGTGACCTCCAGAAGTCCCCTTCAACCTAAGCTATCCAACAAGTGCCTATCAGCCTGGATGTTCAGAACTTGGAGTTAATGAAAATACAGAATAGCAAAATGATAATTCTCTAGGTGTGTGGACTCTCCTTATCTTCATCCTTTCTTTACCATGAGCACTATACTGATCCTTCGCTGTTGCAGCAACCTATCTAAAAACAAAACATTGAAAACGTGGAGCAAACATGCTTGACAGCTCAGAAAGCAGATCAAAAGAACTGAATGTCCTTTTGGTTTCGGATGGTTTAAAAAAAAAAAAAAAGGAAGGTACATATAATTACATCATTTTTATTCCAAGTGGGAGCAAAAGCTTTCCAAAGAGCAGAAATTCTGACCTTTTGAAACTTCTGAATTAAGTAGCATTTTTTGTAAATGTTAAGATACAACATCTAGAAATATTAAAATTAATGTGAAAGTAATTAATGGTGCAAATGGATTTTTTCATGTCTTTCTCTTAATGTAACTCTTGTCAAAATGTCGTCAAAACCTTTGGGTTTCCGTGAAGTGTTTGTAAATTAATAAAACTCTGTGTTCCATTATAAAGCTGTCCTGCTGAGAATTTTCCATCAGTGCTGAATACTTTGTCAGTACAAAGATAGGGGTATTTCAAGCCTACCTCAAGATTAAATGCTTAAGATTTACAAGAAATGATTTTCACAAATTTGTATGTTCTTGAGGAAGCTATGACTCCTGACCTAACCTGTTCAGCATGAGCCCAAATTCATGGGCCTTCTCACTGTGAGCTTACAATGCTTATATTCTGCTTTTGTCAGTTTTTTTCCTACATCAGAAAGAACGTTTTTTTTTTCTTCTTTTTTTCTCCCAACATCCTATGTAGAAATGTATCTGCCAATATGAAAGGGAGAACTACTGAACTCAGCTGCTGGTAGTAAAGGTGTGACTTACAGTATGACAGTAAAAGGAAATGCACAAGTAGTTTGAAGACTGTCCTTCATGTGAATTTGTGTTCTGTTACACTTTCCTCCCTGGCAGATTTTATCTTTGATTCTACCGACAGAAAAATTGGGCCCTTAAAGCTATGTGTGCATTGAAGGATGAGAATTGATGCATACTATATCCATTCATTTATTTGGTTTCTAACTGAAAACTGTAGTGTTAATTAAAGATAATCATGTTCGTGTGTTTTATGAAATATTCTCTAGTGAAATGATGAATTTAACAAAACACTTTGCATAATTTTGCAGTGTGTACATAAAACCTTATTTTCAAGGTGTCGAGAAACTTCTTATACCCTGTTTTCTTTTAAGCCATAAAGGATTTGTTTTTAAATGGACAGGGACAAAGACTGGGCAAGTATGAATTGTCCACTGGAAGAATGCCATCGTGTTCTCAGCACTCCCTGCTAGACTGCTTTGGGGTAACAGAATGAAGTGACTACAGGTTTCTGCGATGAACAAAGCTGGTGGCAATTTAATAGTAACTGTTTCGGGGGGAAAAATCTTAAATTGCTCTAAGTGCTTTGCTGCTAGAAGATTTTCTGTAGACACTTTGTTACATCTCCGACAGATAAAAATTGCTGCCACCTTGGTGGGTACATCTTCATTTAACTTGGTAGGAAAAAGCATCTTCTGTAATGTAATCTTCAAGTGTTTGTCTCAACTTGCCTTGAGTATGTGGCGGGCATGAGTTGTCTAAATCAGGTGTTTTGAAGTACGTGTACAGAACGTACTGAAAGCTGCTGAAAATGTGACGTGCAGTGTAATGGTGATTGTTACCTCTCAGTTCCTGTACCTTACAGACAGATAACAGTGCTGGCATCATTTATTACTTTCTTAGCAATAGAAGCCTGAGCTCAAGGGCCATCTCTCTTGGTAAAGAATTTGATTTAATTTCCGTTCCCATTTAATCTTTGATATTGCAGTTGGGGCTACCAACAAAGATGCCTGCTGTAATGTGGATGTATCCACTGGGGGAAATTGACAGATGGTAACAAAATCTTGCCCCAGTAATCCAGGCTGTGTTTGAACTCATGACCTATATGTGAAGGGCTCAATATCACGTTACAAATCCCTTGGGCTATCTACTCATCTGTATCTAGTTTTCAAGAAGTCCCAGTCTCGTACCATTTCTTCATTCATAAGTTAGGTTCCCCATACTCTCTCAACCATTAATGTTGTTCTTTTTGTCTGCATTTTGAAACGGTTGGGTATTCTTCTTCAATTCTCAAGCATATCTTTTCTATGCTGCCTTGTACTTCGCTATGGAAATAGTTTAGAATTTAATAAAATTGTGCCATAAACTGAAATAATGTGACTATTTCCTAAAAGGCACAAGAATGTGACCCTGTTTCGTGTAACAAGTAGAGGAAATCGCTCAGATTTAAAGTGTTTTAACAGGTGAGGGAGGATAAGATTATCATAGAGATATGGTAATATCTTCAGTCCATCTTGTCAGGATGTGTACAGTTAATCAGGGCAGTGTTTGATCTCTTTGTTAATATATTCATGAGATTTTCTGCTTTTGGCTGTGACCCAAAAAATGCAAACAAGCATTTTCTGGAGGTATGAATTTGTTTTTTGGAGTTACTACTATTACTGTAACAATAGTCCTACCGTAGCATTGTCTTAACTTAGTTTTTATTAAAGTTATGGAGCAAAAGTGAGTTTCTGTTATAGTTAGCTTGCTTTGGTATTCTAATGCTGAATACTCCTTTTCTCTCTTCATAAGCCTTAAGGGCAAGATCTGGCTTTGAGCTTCTCATAATGTTTAATGTCTCGTAATTTTATTGGCAATTTAGGATAACCATCTACTCTTTCATTAGCAGATCATGTCAGTAGTAGGTGAATTCACAAACTATGCAGAATTCCTCTGGGTTCTCTCTGAAATTTCAGATCAGAAAAATTCTCTAATTGTATTGTAAATATGAATACAGAAATAAAACGAATCCAGTTGCATTCTTAGTATGTAAACTAACTTTCAATTCCAAAAAGTAAATCATTATGCAGTCTGCTATGTAAAATATCATAATTAGATTTTTAATTTACCATTAACTAAAGGAACTAGTTACCCACTTAAAAGAATTTAATTTAAAATATATTAAATCAGTATAATTTCAGTTCTTTTAAAGCAAATACAGAGATCTTGTGCGATAGATACACCAGCATCAAAATACATTTTTTTAATAGTTAAGTGCATGTATCTGTACTTCAGGCCTCCATAATGTGCAGTCATATAAAATACATTTTAGAAGGAATGTAGCTGTTCAGAAAGACACTTGAATACATATTTTGCTTGAAGCATTGGGAGTAAGTCTGTTTCTCTTCAGGAGAGCACAGTATCATGTGCTTAGCCTGCAAGAATGTGTGTAACACTGTGTTAAATCAGGAGTCAGCTTTTCAGACTACTTGAGACTAACAAAGCTTTCATTCTGCCTGGAGCATTAAGTACCTCCCGATACGGGAGCACGTTTTAAAGCATTAGCTTCCAATGTTATCAAATGATAATATATTCTCTCTCTCCTCTGCTGGTGCTTTAAATCATTTAAAAACACTGGAACTGTTTTCCTGTTGCGCTTAGGTACTGAAACTTGTCCTGGCGTTGGACCAAAGAAAGAAGATAAACAGCTGAGCATTCGTCCTCCAGGTGAAAACAAAACTGAGAGACAGAGCGAGACAGCAAGCCTTTCAGTAGCAGCAGGAAAGGACCACATGGAGGAGCAGCACTGCAGTGCTGAATCAACATCGGAGCCACACACCCAGTCCACAGGGACAGTGGGCAGGCCTTCTTCAGGCTGTTTATCATCAGGGGATGCCGGTAAAGATAACAGTTCGCAGCTGAGAGAAAGGCAGCTCTCTAAGGATGCAGAAAAAATAAAAGAGACAGCTGGGGAGCCTGGAGTGAAAATCTCTCCTGGGCCAATGGTAGATGCTGTGGTTTTAACAGATGCTGATTATATGCCTACTGATTCGGTTTCTACTGATAAAGATGTACAAGCTGATAAAAATCTTCTCAGATCAAAACATGTTGCTAGTTCTTCAGAAACTGCTGGTGGCCAGCTCGGAAATAGTGATTTAAACCAGCAGCAGAAACAGCCCGATCATGATGATGAAAAATCTCCCCAGGACAGAACTGCATCGAACGTGTGCTCTGGAAGTCATAAAGTGTCTGAGCATGAGAGTACTGCCCTTTCACGAGTATGCAAGGAAATGCAGAGAGCAGCAGGACAGGAGGAGAAGGTAAAAAATGAAGAACAAGAAGATTTTCTTCTCAGACTTTTAAATGGTAACATAATAGACACTGAAGAATCGTTTGTAAGCTTAGCAAACCAAGAGGATTTTGACACTGTTCCAGATATTTCACCTGAACGAGCATCTTACAACTCACTGGAAGCTTTATCACTAGATGACAGCTTTTCTTCTCTTGATGAACTTGCAAGAAGGATAGAGATTGCAGAGGTAAATACTGTGAATCCTATAAAACTTTCCGTGTTACCTTAGTTAAAATATTTTAGTCATTGCCAACTTCAAAGTGCGTTAAATACTTGTCTTTCTTTTTTTTACTCTGAAAAGAAACCTACATTTATTTACTTGTTTTAATTCAGAAAAAAGTTCCCTTTTATCTCTTTGTGTCCTTCTTGCAAAGTGTTGCTCTGTGCTTCTAAAACCTATATTGATTTTTGCATATTAGTGTGAACTCATTTGTCTTTTTTACATAAGCTGACAATTCCTGTTAAATTATGATTTTATTGAAAAGATCTACATAATGCCAATGATGTATCATATGGTTGGTTTCTATTCATAGAATGAAATTTGATTTTCTTTCCTACTCCTTATATTTGAGAAGAGCTTCATACATAGTAAACTCTGTATATGCTTGTATGGGCTTCTAATTTTGTCAAGCATAGGAAGTTTTGTCACTGAATCAAAAGAAAGAAAAAACTTCTGAGCCTCAACCCCCCTTTCTTTTGCACTTCTGATAGGTCCCAACAAGGATGAGTGCTACCTAAGCTAAAATGTTCTTCTGAAATACAGAAGTTTTATTGCTTCAGGACTGGTTCACAAAGTGTATGATTACTTGTTTGCTATGTTTGTCTACTGGTTTTGGTGCATTTGCTTCTGTGGGACCTTAAAAGCTTTTCCTTTAAACGTAAATATGAGATTATTGTGAAATGATGTGATTCCAGATGCTGGAAGGGGTGGGCTTGTAAGATGGTATCGTGTTAGTTTGTCTCTATTTTTAATGCATTTAACAATACAGCATCCCTTAGCAATACAGTAACAGTACTTCTCTATAGATCAGAAGCTAATGCATGGAGACCAAGAACCCACGATCGCTCAGGGACTGCAGCCAAGCAGGAAACTAAATACCAGAGGTCCATGCTGATGTTGTTATATCTTTGGCAAAATCTCCATGCTGGAAACAGAGACCTAAACAGCTTTGTCTCCCTTCCAGCACCAGGCATCCTGATCACCCCTAAAACACCTTTTCTTTCTGTGGGATGTCAGGAAGCATACCACATCCTGTGACTGAGGGCCATGCATACACAAAGCTGCGTTTACTTCAGCTTTTTTGGATCCAGCAGTAGCTGTAAATGAGCTCTTCACAACATGTGACATGTGGGAACCCATAATACATGTTCATTATGTGTTATCAAACTCTTGCGCTAAATCCATTGGCTTATATTCACTGGCTTCAAAAAAGATTATTTTATTGACAGTCTGTGCTAAGCCCATGTGGATGTATAACAAAAGAGCAGTTTAAATACCATCCCTCGGGATGAGATTTCTTTTGAGCCCGATGGAAGTTCAACATTTTAAGCCACAGAAGAGAACTGTTCTGGTTCATGTAGAAAAATCCGAAATTAACCCTACAGCAGCTATTTTTAAAGTGGTGTGTTGTGCCATTTGCCTTTTAGAGGATTGGATAGGAAGCAGCATATCGATACTGTTAGAAAAGTTATGCTTGTATTGATTGGCCCAGCAATTGATGACACTGATGCTTTACTGAGAATCTAGTGTCATTTCTAATTCACTGCCCTGCTGCTAGGACTGCCAGTACTCTGATAGCAGAGAGGAGTCTCTGGAGAGGTAAAAAGTACCTTGAGCCTTTGCACAGCATTTTCCCTGCCGTATAAGGCATAACAGTGGCTGGCACTGGTGGAGTCTTCTCCAGTCTTTCTTAGCAAGAGGCTGGATTTGTGTGTGAGGCGGGGGGATAAATCAGGGAAAAGCAAAGAAGGGTTCATTTCAACACTGATTAAAACCCACAATACACAGCCTCTGAGGTGTTTTACAATACCTGAAATCGCTAGGTGCAGCAGGGTGAGTTACAATACAGGCACAGCAGCCTATGTTGTTTGATTATACATTTATATTTTGTTATTCCAGTTAATCTTATCACCTGTCATTACCTTAGGGGTTGCATTTCAGAAGTGGTGAGCACCTACAGCTTCTCTGAAAGGCACCAGAGGGTTTGGGACCTCTGAGAAACTATCAGCATTTACTTTAAGTGGTTTTGTTTTTAGTGCCGAAGATTCCACTGACAACAAGCAGACTGATTTTGCATCCAGCTTTAACATTTCTTTGTTGTCTTCATTTTCCACCTTTGAATTTCTGTTGTTCAGGTTGTGGCCATCTAGTAGATTACAATGTTTTCATACAATGGTTATGAAAGAAATACCTAGAAAATCCATTGGTAGCCACATGTGTAACATCAACAAATCCTTACATGAAACGTACCACAGTGACAATTAAAAAATTAACTTGGATGTGATAAAAACTTTTCCTGGAGCAAGTATTTACAAAATTATAACAAATAAGTTAGAAGAGGGTAGAAGTAATGACTGTTTTGAAATAACCTAGGCACAAAAATCATATGATAGAGCAGTGCAGGTGTAATACTAATTTATTGCAAATGGGGCACAGTAAGTGTTGTGTATGCATTTACTGGTAGGAAGGGATTTTTGGCCCCATATTGAGCAGTCACCTCACGTAGTTCTCTAATTTGGATATTTTATGTCATTCGCTTTTCAGCTACCATTTACAATAATTAATTAAAGACCGAAAATCTCCTATATTCTGACTCTGCCGTTAAATAACTACAAAAAATGAAATAGCATTTTACATATTGGAGTTACACTGCGTATTTCTTCACTAGTACAAACCATACACAGCAATGTGCAAATGATGGAAAATCACTGTCATTATGTAGAAACTACATTCATACAGCTAGCAAAGAGCTTTGGGGCACAGTCAGCAGCTGGGAGCAACAGAATTCGCAAGAGTATAACCTCTTCTTGGATCTCGTTGCTGTCATTTCTGTGTGAATGAAATGACGTACCAGCAGTCAGATTGTAACTTCAGTAACGTAAGGTGCATTTTGCCATATGAAATACAGCTTTTTCTGCAAGATGATTAGGGAAACGAATAAAATCTTGATGTTTTTCTCAATGGCAAATTACCATTTGAAATTTCTTTCTGAAAGGAAAAGTAGTGAGACTCCTTACCACAGCATAAAGTAGTAGCTTCTAGATGGCATTTTTTGTACACCAAGACTTTAAAAAATTACTGAGTATGTACTGACTAGCAGCTGATTTGATTGCAGAAATGAAGTCTCCAGAAAGGAAGTGTGGAGACAGTGCCTTGCTGAGATCCCCTGTCCTCTTGTACAGCTTGGGTCCTGTAGTTTTGAGTCTGTGAGAATTACATTTCTGCATGAAATGCTTATGTGGTGTCTGAGGAGCAGGAGGTATTTGGTTCTGTTTAATAGAGCCCCAATGCTTGCGTGGTAAGCACAATAACAGAAAAATGGTTAGAGCTTAATTGTGGTATGAATGCTGAATCTGATTAGTTAGCTCCTTTTCAAAGTCAGATTATTCATATATCTGATGTATCATTATATTCCTGCACGTAATGTATTTTATTAGCAGAGTTTGGCCTGCTTCTTATAGTTTAGGCCAGGGCTGTTTTGCCTTTTGTCAGTTTGTTGTACAGCTATGTGTGACTGCTTTAAGAGCCTGGTATTGCTAGAAATAAATTGGAGGCTTCTGCCAAGTCACTGAATCAGGAATAAATCCCACAGAAGAATATACAAACAAAACTCCTCCTTGAGTAGTTCTCTGCATTTAGACCAAAATACTTCACAGAGTGAACTTTGCTTCCATGCCTCCAGTTTTGGGGGTTTATTTACTTCTGCATGCTGTGACTGATTGCAAGAGGCAAGGGTAATCTTTCTGTCAGAGTTTAAAGTTCAGGGCCTTACTTTTATAGTTTTGTGTGTCATATTTATAAAAGTATGTGTATAATAGTTGGAGAAAATAAGCATAATGTAAGAAGCTTTTTAAATAGTTTACCAGCACATGCTGTTTTAAACAAAGAGAAGAGGAAGAGAGTTTAATTAGATTTATTTATTTATTTATCTACTTGCTTCTTTTGCAGTCTGTATATTAAACCTTACCCCCCCAAAAAAAAAGAGTTTAAAACTTTTCTGTGTGCAGCAGGATCACTTTCTGTTACTACTGGTAAAAAGAGAAGAGCTCAAATATTTGGCAGTTTGAGTAAATCAGTAGTCACTGCTGCTTTCCTTGCTGACTGCTGGTCGATGTGCCACCATACACCTGCATGCCATTTGCAGTTTCTGGGTGGTTGTTACAAAAGGCCAGCAGAGCCAAATGAGTTCAGTTACACAAAGTCCAACAGCATCTTGTATTAATTATTTAGCTTAGAATTAAGAAAAGGTCCTGTGTTTCAATAGTGTCCTTTATGTAGCTTTTTATGTAACAGAGCTGTTGGCTGTGCCGCCTGCTGCAGGCCTACATTTTCCTCTTGTGGTTCAAGTCAAGCAAAGGCTTGACTTGTGGTTAGCTGTATTAACCACAGTCCCCTAGTTAGACTCCAATTTAAATAATGTTTTCTGCCTTGTTAAATTCCTCCTGCCTCAAACACTGGGATGGAATACTTCTAGTCTTGCATGGCTGTTAAGTCCCTGTCATACCACTTTCCATGGCTATTTAATTAATGGGAGATGGATCTAATATAATCTGCTTGTATATTGCTTTGAAATCTTTCTATAAGAAAGGTGCAGAAAAGAATATTGTGTTTACAGTTGGTTAAATTGAGTGAGACTTTGTCAGTAGCAAGAGGGACACTATTCTTATGTGAAGATCTGAAGTTCAGTAATAACATATTAATGACTGAAAATAAGAAAAATAAAATATTGTGATGTGTGTTAGGTAATTTTCAGCTGCAGTTGAGAACATCGTAGGAAAAAAGGTGTAAAAGTTGCTTCATGCAGAATTCCGTATCTTTGTATTTGCATTTGCATTTTAATAATAAACTGTACCCTGGGTAGGAGGCATACTTCTGTAGGTGCTTTGCAGAGCAAAAGGAAAACCTTGATTCCAAGTCTGGCGACAGGCAGATGAAATATTCCAGGTATGTGCATATGTCATGCAAAGAAGATATTCTGGTCGGAGAGCCTTAAAAATCTGATCTGTTGGCATTTGCTGGGCCAGGAGAATGACGTTAGCTATGCTGATTATATTGCAAAATCAAAAGACCTTGCTCACCCCTTTTAAGCAAAAGAAGGTGTTTAGAGTAGAGAAACTCATGCTGCATCAGTTAGGTCTCTTGCATTTAGAAGTAATCCTGCAACAGTTGGGTATGCTGACAGCAAAAGTAAGCGAACCTCAAACCTCGTTGTAGCAAGACTTTTCTGCGCAAGCTTTTTACGTAACTGTAATCACTGAAACACATTTCCAGGTAATCCCATCAGGCACAGCCCTCAGCTTTTAGGCTTGGAGGAGACGGAGCTTGTGCCACAGCCATTCAGATGGCAGGAGCCAACATCTCCCTCCCGGGAAGGCCTGCCCCGTGCTGCTGTTAGGCCAGGCTGACAGGGCCCGGCCTGCCCCAGGTGATGTTCCCCACACGCGCAGTCCCAGCTGCTCGAGCAGGCGTAGCCAGCAACAGCTCGTCTGCTGCGTGGGTGGCTCGGGACGATCCATTGATCCTCTTTACAAAAGCGATGCCGTACTTAGAAGCTTAAAATAATCCACTCTTTTAAAGGACATAATGTCATCTCGCCCTCCCAAATAAATGAGTCAAATTAATACGCGCCTACACAATCCCCCTCCCTTGTCACAACATGGAAGGATAAGTATTTATTTTCTGGCTGGCCTGATAAATTTTCGTGGCAGCTCTGCAAGGCTAATTTAACATCACCAGTAGACACTTAACCCCGGTGCACTTGTCTGATGTGATGAGGAGCTTGCAGGCTGTTGTTGCGACTTGGTTTGTGCCTCCACATACCGACTTAAACAATTTCTTCCCACCACCTCCACACTTTCACTACTTCATACGTACTTCCTTGCCTTGTTTCATTAAATAAACCATTCAAGCTCTTAAGTAGATAATCAAAAGGGAAAGTGAATATCAAAAGGGGAGTATGTCAATCTTATCCTCTCAGCTGTGTTTTGGGGAAAATTTTGTTATGCTGTAGACATAAATCCACAATTGCCAGCCCTGTTTGTTGCTGAGGGCAACAATTGAGGGGTATAAAGTACTGCCAGAGCAGAGACATGCAAATTTAATTGCCACATTTACCGGTTGAAATGTTGCAAATGCCAAATGACACAGTTGGTGCCGTGCCTATTGGATTGTGCTCTCCATTGTCTGTGTGCAGCGCACCATCTCTGATTATAGCATGCATTGATGCATTACATAAGCTTGTGGTATGAGCAAGTTTAGGACCGTAAGTTACAATGTCACTTGTTTTCTGGTTTTCTACAGCTCTTATAATTGCAATATAAATGAGCTTTTATGCATGGTCTTCCAATTTAGTTAGATCATGGGGTGGTTGGCAGGCAGTTGTCTGCAGCTATGTTGTCTGGAAAGTAGTCTGTTTTTTCACTTTGTTTTTGTGAAAATTATAGCTATTTGGGGTCATGTCTCAGGTGAGCTGCAAAATCAGTTGCAAATGTGATATTTTCTCATCTGTAGCACAAATTTATACAGATTACCTTTCAGTTTAACAAAGGTTATTGCTGATCAACAAGGCAGGTTTTAGAAGGGGCTACTCAAATTTATGAAGAAATGGATAAGACTTTTTCAGGTAAAGATGATCTCAAGATTTAAAAAAAAAAAAAAAAAAGGCATGGTGACTACAGAGCTAAGGAACAGGATTTGCATGTATCTGTTTTTCTTAGGTAATACTTAGATAATACTTGTGTCAAACCTTAGTATCATCCATAGATTTTCTTCATTGCTTAAGCTGTTATAACAACTTCAAACAGCTAAAGTTCTTGTTAAAGTAATGAAAGAAAAATGCCAGCTGCTTTAAAGAGAAGAGAATTTAAAAGCCCGCAAGCAGTGAGTCTTACACGTAGTTTCACTGAATGTTACCGTTAGCATGTAGATTGCTACACCTGTGAAATATCAGCATGTTCTTGAACCCTGTGAGTTTGTTAAAGCACAGTCTGCCAGTGGGTTATCACATTTGGCATATGATCCTGAAAGCCAGGTGCAGGGTTTAATCAGGTGACTCTTCCTATCTAGTTTCACATATATACTGCTGCTCTGGCAATTTTAGCTTTTTTTTTTTTATATATAATACATCCATGTATCCTACAGTCACATCCACTTTCAATGTGTATAAACTAAGATACACAACGTTCCTGCATCCTTCTCACCCAAGTACCACTTCATTGAAGATCTTTTCTTTTGTGTAATTGCATCCATGGTTGGCAGAAATTGAAGGTAAATGGTATAGCTGAATGTAATGTGTAAAGTGCTGCACCTGTTCTGGGTAACTTTGTTTGTATTAATGCTGTCCCCTACTTTACTCTTTCAACTCCAAGTGGTTTCTCTCTTTTCTGTGACTTCAGAAAACTGGTTGGTGCTTTTGAATGGTAGGATCTAGGTGCATGGTAAATTTGCCATAACAAGCAAAAACATTTTCTGATATGTAATTAAGAAAAAATATTTTATTGATGGAGATAATTTTACAAAGGTGTTTTGTGGTTTTTAACTGATGAAAATATTGCTGGGGAAGATTGAAACTGTTGTGACCTGTTTCAATAGTCAAACACCATGCTGATTAGTGCCCATCCATTTGGCTCAGCACCATTTCATGACAGCATTCTCACATCTCCATTATGCATTCTGCTCCTCATATTTCTCCTACTTTCTTTTCTGTAATCACTAGGAAATTACAAAGTGCTGGTTAGTCTAACATCCTAACATGGCTTTGTAGAAAGAAAAGTATTCAAAATATATTGCAGCTAAGTCAAATGATACAGGAAAGGAAAGGAAAGAAAAGTGACTTGTTGAACGTATCACTGTGCAAGTTGTTTGGGTGATCAATTTGTAGGAATGGTTTTTGAACTCCTACTTTATCCTGAGAGCTTATTACAGTGTGGAGCTCGCATCTATCCAGAAGCAAGAAGACTTCTTTTTCCCCTGGTGTTTTCTCTTTTTTTGTTCCCACTCTAGCTTGTCGTCTCCCCTAGGCAACCAATCACAACATTGAAAAATTAATCTCGCAGTGAGTATTTTTATAGTCTCTGCAGGATTATGTCTTTGGAGAGGCAGCAGCAATGTCATTGACCTCTTATTGTCCTTGACGATAGTGTTTTTGACTGGAAGCCTTCTCACTACTGCCCCAACCCATGTGATTTACTAATACGAGTTTAGAAAGGAGCTGATGCAATGAATACTGAGTACGATCCAAACAATGCATGTTAACTTTGATTGCGATTAAAGACACGAATTGTCATCTTACTCAGCTACTACACAGTAGAACGATGCTGAAGCTATCCTGCATATTAAGAAACAAATGCATTCAATAAGGGGTTTTCACAAGTGCTGTAATGTTTAAGAAATGTGGTGTGGAAGCCATTTATCTCTTTATCTCACTCACTCCTTAAAGCTTTTGTTACATAGATTTCATGCTTGGATTTCTCACGTTGTACCAATCACTTTCAAATGATTTTGATAATCTTTCCTGATAGATTGCCCCAGCAGAAGGATTAGTGTCCATACTGAAGAAAAGAGATGACAGGGAAGGAAAAGCAATTGCTCAAGTCCAGCAAAGGCAAACAAAGAGAAGAGTCCGATTCCAAGAAATGGACGACACTTTTGATCAAGGTATTTTAACACTGTTAATTCATGGCATGCATGTGAAGATCTTTTTGTTCACAAGAGCAAAGTGGACATTCATTTTATGTAGTACCTTAGCTTTTTAAAACTTAGTCAAGTAAAAGTTGAAGGTGATTGATCAAAGCTTATTTTATAGCAGGTTTGGTTATCAAGAATACAGAAGGAAGGATACAACAGATACATTTCTGTTTTAAACTCATTTGGAACTAAGTCACAGCTTTTTCCTCTAGCTGAATAATTTGTGAGGGACACGTAATGTCCTTTCAGGAATGCTTAGTGCTTAGGGGCGGTAGGTGTAGGTTTTCTACCTGAACCTAATCCATGTAGATGAAGAGGAATGCAAAAGGAACAGGTCTTCTGTGTTTTGTCTACAGATAGCTTCCCAGCCTTCTCTATTAGACCATGGGATTGAAGAGCATTAGATTTTAATCCTGCTTTATAATTAAACATCTGTATGAATTTGCTAGCTAAACTTGCTAGAATTTGGATAAATGCCTTGTCTTTTTGACGGGCTAAATAGCCTCACAAGAAATACAATATATTGTTGGTATCCTTTTCTTTAGCATAGTTTATTGTTACTCCAGAAGCCTTGAAATACCGGCTTCTGCAGAAATTCTGTCTTTAAACAGAACAGGCAAGTGAATGTCTGTGTTTTTTGTTGTTGTTTTTTTTTTGTTTTTTTTTACATAGCCCAAAAACTCACTTTTCATACTTTGAAGGAATTACATCTCATTGTTTTGTCCTTTGAGACTAGATATAACTTTTATTTGCCAAGATCACTTAAACCAACAAAAGAAACCCTAATGAATGTATAGTAATGAAGCAGCAATTTAACATTTTTTCTCCCCTTTGAAGTGGTAATTGTTGGGTAATGGTTATTGCTAGTGGCACAGGTAGACAGACTTGGCTCTTCTCGCTGTGACTACAGATTTCAGGAGAGGAAGTTTGACTCTGTTTTCACCAGCCAGTGCTGACTGTTCCTAGTATACCTCCCACTCTGAAACTAAGAGTAGTTAGGCATGTCCTGGAGGGGAGAGATTGAAAGCTGTTTTGGGGTACTGAGGGTGAATATTGGTACTGCAGAATTTCCAAACATCCTAAATCAGTGTAAGTTGTGTTTGAGGTGAAAGCAGTTTCTTTGGTTGGTAGAAGCCTTTCTTAGGCCTTTCAGTTCTGCTAGACTTAAATGGAGTGCAGACGCTTGATCAATAATGGGAGGTTCCTTCTCTGGTATGTTCAGATTTGCTTGATAGGACGGTTGGGAACAAGTGTAGAAAAGATCCCTCTTAGGCCTGATGTTCTCCAGAAGTTGAAAACTGGCCATTGGATGTAATGGAAAGATGTTTCATTTTGCACACACAACATTGTCTGCTTTTTGTGAAGTAAAATGGAACAAATAGACCTAGAGAAGAATCTAAAAAACTAAGCATGTGGGGACTCAAGAAATAATGGTTTTCATATGCCTTTGGTTTCTATTGTTCCTCCAAATTAACATTTATTAATTCTCCTCTCTGAGTGTTGTAATGCTCAGCATCTCCTCTTAATGATTAGCTAAGTGAAAGCGTATTGAGAACTGGGGGAGGGAGAGGGAAAAATAACACTAACTGCAGAATTAAATTGGTATGAATTACTACTAAAAAGTTATCCAGCGATATTGTCTTGTAGGTATTACTATGTAGAGAAAAAATACAGAAAGGAAAAAAAAATCAGGTAACATTGCTTAGCAGAAATCAACCAAGCAAGCAGTTAGAATCTTAAAATAATATAGAAAGTGAGTCCATTAGTTGCTTAGTTGCCTCTTCCGGAGTGAACATAACGTTTTCTGTCTGGAAGGAGATTGCTAGGTACGTCCCACTATATTCTTTAATATAGTGTGGGAATTTATGAGCTTGTTATTTTGGTATCCCCAGAATCTTTTAACATGCAAGAGCAAGATGTGTAGAAGAAAAAAGAATCGAAGCTTTATTAGTGGGCTGTGCTAATGCTTTGTGTTGTGATCCATGTTGCCTCATTGCCTTCCCTTTTTTGGGTCTGTCTGTTGCCTTGTCTAATTCTTGCATCTAAACCGTTTGGAATAAGGACTAGCATTTTTGATTTTAACTAATGCATTGCTTACTTAGTGAGCTGCTTGCCCATGAGCAGAGTTTTTAAGTGCCATAGTAATTTTACTTCAATTTTTAGCAATGCAGTTAACACTTGAAACAACCTCTGAGGACAATTGTCAATTAAAATATGCAAATCGAGATGAACTATAGCTACATGTATTTTTCATGTATTTACGTGTAATATACGTATGTATATAAGCAGATACTCATTGCATTAGTTATGTTTGTCAACATCAGAAGTTGTAGCTTAATTCATGAACCAAACACTTTTTTTCACATTATGTGACTCATGTTGTGCAGAAGGTCAGAGCAGGTAGCTGAAACAATCTGATTTGACCCGTAAACATTGCCAATGTATGCGACTGCTTTTCTTGGGTGTAGCACGGTTGGTGCCCATACTGTGATTAAATTCTATGAAATGAATATTTATCATTCCTGGTTCACCAATGAACTTTTAAGTTGTTGAAATATTAATTTTTTTTCTTTGTTACCTCTAACTCCAGGAATTTTCCTCTATTCACTGAACTCGGTTATTCAGTAAATATTGCACTGTCACTGTTGCCAATTCCTACAGCATATTACTGAAATGCTATAATTTTAAATTTCGTAATTATAAATACATGCCTCTGTGCCTATACTATATATATATATGTATATGTATGCTTATACATACATACACTTACACACACATGCCCCTCAAGGAATCTCATGAATTTATATCATTGTAACCCTTTCTTACCTTTCTGCCAGTCTCTACCTGTTTTTATCATTTTCACTATACTCATATAAATTAGTGATATTTTAGTCCTAAAGGACTAGCTTGATCAAGTGGCAGATAATTTTAAAGGCATCGAGATATTGAACTTTTAGTATCATTAATGTGGTGATGAGTTCCACAAAAGTATTTTGCAATCAGAGCTCTCCGAGATGACCCAAATGCTCTTTGCAGCCCTAAGAAAGTTGGAGTGAGAAAAGGCTATCTGGTGTAAGTGGTCCCTGATAGCTGAGGCACTCTAGCGCTCTTGAGTCATTTCAGACACAACTCGCGTTTTTCCCTTCTTTAATTTTTTGTGAAGTGTTCCAGACTGTGAGAGCCTTTAATATGTTACTGTTTTGCCATCATTTTAAGTAAAGCCAAATTCTGTTCCGCAATACTGGCATAGTTTCATAATACTTCAGTACAGTCTGCTGGAGAAACTGAGCAGAATTTTAATGCTTCATGATGTTTCCCACACGCTGAAAAGAAAATCCATTTACTGCCCAAAAAGGAGTTTATTGCATCTTTTTCTTGAAATTATTTAGAAACAATTCATGCAGTGAAAATCCAGTATTTTCCTTTTGTTTGGTTCCATTTTTTTTCCCAGGACTTAGTGATTCATAAGGAAGCTTGCTTTTTATTATTATTACTTTAAATCAGATTTAAAAAAAAAAAAAAAAAAAAACCTTGAATTTTTCCTGTATCTCCTCCCAGAGGTAGGGTGGAAGGAGTTCAGAAATGTTCTTAGAGCCTCTTCAGTGTGACAGAAAATGTAGATGTTGTTTGTGTGAACAGCTTAGCATGGATAAGTGAGGTTGTGAGGGTGTAGCAGCACATCTGTAGCCTCTTTATGGGAATAAACAGTCATGCAAAGAGTTACCACAGAATAATGGAGATGTAACTAACCCTTGACGATAGCTTACCCTGAAGTTTTTGTCTCTATCCTTTTAGTCAAAACGTGAGAGTAAACATGAGCAGTTCACCATCTCACAGTCAGTGGCAGTACAAATGAAGGGAGAACGTTTACAATTGTTGCATTTTCAAAGCTTTAATCTCATTTCAGATATTTCCATGAAGGAAGGCTTTGGTTCTCTGACATTCTCATATTTAAGACTGTTGTACTTCCATGTGGACTGACTCCACAAATGATCCTGTCAAGGACAGGGACCCAGGTTGCAGGAAAGGCACTGAATAATTATTTATGGTTTCCAAAAAGAATCTCAGGTTTTCTCACAAATGTTCCTGTTGCTTTGTATGGTTCTTCATACAACTTTTCTGCTCTTCTATTTACAGATGAAGTAGCTGGTGGCTCCTGTATTTTGCTGATCCTGCTGTGCATAGCAACTGTTTTCCTGAGCATTGGAGGAACTGCGCTGTACTGCACCTTTGGTGACATGGACTCCCCGGTGTGTACAGATTTCGCAGCCAACATGGATTTCTATTATACCCTGATATTGCAGCGTGTGGAAGAACTAAAACACTGGATAGCCTTCTCCTAGTTGAAATGAGCAGAGACAGCACGTTGAGAGCTTACCACTGATCATTGGTAGAAACAAAAACTGTGATTTCAAGTTCTTGGTAACACTTGCCACCTGCAGGTGTATGTGATGATGTACTTACACTTTTACTTAGAAATTGAGAAAAATCCTAGTTTAGCATTCAGGTGGCAAAATGTTCACATCTTAAGCTGTAGCAGCGTGGTATGGGAGAATAAGAAGTCATTCTCTTCACCCTTTTAAGATTAGACAAGCAGCTTTTCGATAACTTGAGCAAGTGAAGAAGAAAGAAGAAAATTAACTGTCTTCTATATACTCTCTCATTGCCACACCTTGTGTAAGCAATCTCTGGAAGCTTAGTTAAAGGACAGCTTTGATTTACAGCTGTTTGTGCAAAGGTGTTGCCTCCAGCTATCATGCAATAAGTCTGTGTTTTACGAAAACATTATTTTTCTTCTACGTCTTACTATTTTTCTCCATTTTAATTCTCCTGGTGAGCCATGTAATAATTTGGGTGGAGTGAGAAGAGTGCAGCAGCATTCACAGAGCCCTCATTTGGTGAAAGCAGGCTGACCCTGTATATTATAGATTATGGTGAATATCATGAGTGGGATAAATCTGCTGGCAGATTTCACAAAACTTCCTGGAACTTTACTCCCGGTATTGTGTGGGCTGTTTCAGAAGTAGGAGGATAAAAAAGAAATCATCGGTCTCACTAAACGCAGAAACAGGAGCAAGATGTTTAGTAAATTATTCATGTTACGGTAGCGTGGCTTTGGCCAGTTTTAAAGGACCTGGTAGTAGGTGTTGGGCTAACTGGGTTTTCTGTCCAGCTACGTCGCTGACTTACGGTAATCACTTTGTGCCTCAGTTTCTCCTCCGTAAACGGGGAATAACGATCCTTGCCTTTGTCTGTGAATATTTATTGCAATTAGGGCTCATGTCTGATTCTCCTGCAGCCCGGAGGAGCACACAGGATCACTGAACTGTGTGGCTGCAGCCTCTCTCATTGAGTGAGCATTTACATACAGTGGGACTGATCCAACAAAAGAAGAAATTCAGAGGCTTGCTTGAGATCCACAGTATGTTGGTAGTCCAGGGCACTCATTCCAGCAGAGAAAGCACATTTGCATCTATTTGCCCTCCAGATCTGAGACTTGTATTGTAAAATCTGCTCTCTTTTTCTACCAGCTTTAAATCAGTAAAAGAGTCGTTTTAAATGGGTATTTCTATCACCTGGTGCTCAGCCCTTTCTGTGTGGTATGTGAGAGAAACACTGACGTGACGGCAAAGGTCAGAATTAGTGACACAGGCCTTTGGCCCACGCTATGGTCAAAATGTGGCAGCTGTAATTGCGCAGAGCATGATGCTGATGGTGGTGTGTGAAAGGAGTCCTTCACACCTCAGGAAACAGCAGTTTTGAGGGGTCTGCTTCACTCCGCTCCGCTCCCATCTCCAGCTTATTAACGTTGTATGATGCAGTTCCTTCAGGTTTAGGATATTATTTTGTAAACTACTACAAAGTGAAATCTTTACGGTATTGCTCAGAGTTATAACATGAAACAATCATGCTTTCTGCCATTTGCAAGCCGATGTCCCTCTAGTGAGCTTGATTGATCCTAATGCACTGTTATACTTAATGGGTTTTTAAAGTGAAAGTTAAAATCATGTTTTTTTCCTAGAATAAACTGCATGTATGATTTCTTTTTCGGTTCTCACTGATGAGGCTTAGTTTATCCATACCTTAGGAAGCCTCATGTGCAGCTCTATATTAAAGTAGCAGATCTAAAATACCCAAATTAATGAAAACTTTTGCTTTCACAATGAAACTTATGAATGGTAGTTTGGCATATTTTTTGTTGGTTATTCTCAGAGCATTATAAAGCTGGACTAATCTAAGGGAGAAAGGGAGAGATGCTTTTGTATTTTAAAGTGTTACTGGCTGGTTCAGTGTATTATTTTAATTTCCGGTTTATGTATTTATTTAGTTTTTATTTTAAAGAAAAACTTAATTTTCTTCTTTTTTTTTTTTTTTGGTAATTTACTCAGAGTAATTAAAAAGCATGCATTCGGTTAAAATATGTATTTATAGTGATTGTGTAGTTAAAATATATTTTGCATTTCTGTAACTTTGCATTGAGTGTTTCAGGATATTAAGTTTGTTCCTAAAAGACAACTGTTGATTTCAGCTTAAAAATATGTTTTTGTGCACTTCATCACCAAAAAGATCAAGAGGTATATATAGAACTATTTATTCAAAAATATATGAGATATGAGGATCGAAGATCTTCTACGTTTGTTTAATTAGAACTATTTTAAAATAATTATTTTATTTAAAACTGTAAATCTATTTAAAGTCAAAGCAATTTTTAATAAGCAGTTCAGTTTAAAATCCACAGTCCAAATCCTGGTATAGCAGCTTTGTGTTATATTCCCAGTGCAAAGATTCGCTAACATCAGCAGAACTGCCTACAAGAAGACCGTGAAGGGGTAGCACACCACTTTATGACAAGCACCTGAGAAAAAACGAGTTCCCAGATGTTCTCTGTAGCTCAGCTATCTTACACTGGTGCTCTAGCGTGGAGCATGTCTCCTGCCTTCCTGGCCTATGCCAAGTACCGCTCCTGCAAGGAGTCTCAGGATTTGAGGGAGCAGAAGGAACACACTCACACAGGCTGCCCAGCTCCTCATCTGAGCTCTTCACTCCTCAGTTGCAGTTGAGGACTTGAATCTGGATCTAATTTCCATTGGCATTCCTTTATAAGAAGTGGATAGTACTAACTCTTGCTTCACCTGACAATCCTGCTGGTACACGCAGTTTGCATGGTCTGTACTATGTTATCAGACTTGCAGCTACCAACGCAAAAGACGTGCTTTGTTTGAACACCAAAGAGTGTGCGGGTTGGCTTCGTGTTGGCCTTCCCATGTGTTCTGTACCCTCTCGATTGCTGGTGACATTGCTGCCACCTGGGCAGCCTGAGGGGTCGGGATCTTAGGGAAATCCAAGCTGAAAGTTGATTTGAACAGTTATCCTCGTCTGAGGGTTTTGTGGTAAAATAGTGCTGAGCTGCAGCTAAGCCTGAAGTAGGAAGCAAGGAGGGGAGAAAAGGCTTTTTCTTCCCTTTGTGCATTTGGAAAGCCCTTTGTGTGTAAGTTTTCGTTTCCTCTCTTGCCTTCCCTGCCGCTGTCTGTATGGTTCTGCTTGGCAGTAGGGGAAACATTTTGCCAGTGTAAAAACATTTGTAGCCAGTCAGAAAATTCAGGGAATGGTTCAGTACTTGGCATCTTAAGAGATGACTGGGATGTCAGGGTGGAAGCTCACCTTCAAAATGGAAGTTGTGGGCATTTAATCACCTGCCACACTCTACCAGAAACCCCACCTTCCAGTTCACTCAGTGAGTGTCGTTACTGTAGAGATGTTCTCATGACAGAGCAAAACCGACAAGGCTCTTCATGCCCATTCAGCATAAGCTGCCAAAAAGAGCTTTCTAATGACATAATTAGCACCCTCACCCCAAATACCTTGAAGCACACCAAGAAAAGCACTGTGCAGCAGCATAGCCACGCTGTACCACAGGCTCGTTTTCAAGCAGTGTCAGTAAGGAAGCGTTTTCACAGCCCAGATGCGCCAGGAGAAGTTTGTAATCTAGACACAGCCCGTGTTTTAAGATTCATCCAGTATCTTTGCTCTCATGCTTGGAAAATGCGTAGCACTGGTCTCACACAGTGGGAAGTAGCCTAACCAAAGGGGAAACTCGTTAGAGTTCTCTGGGAGGAAAGGGCAAGCTTGAAACATCAAATGAGCAGAGTAGGTTGGAAGTCCAAGTTTTTGTGTGATTGGGCACTATTCCACTCAACAACCAAAGGGGATGCTACCCTCCCAGGAAAATATCTTTGCCTACTTTGTACCATAATGTAAAACCAAGACCATCTGAAAGGATTAATAACCATTTGTAACAAATTTAACTTTAGCTACTTTTAGCAAAAGGAGTAAATAATTGTTTGAAACCATCACCCAAGCTTGTAATTTAAGTACTGTAGCAAAAAAAAATAAAAATAAAAGATGTCCCAAAGAAAATATATGAACCTTTTTGGGTACTGTTATTTCTAAGTATAAGAAAACACTGAGAAGATGTTCTGTGAAGTTCAAGTAGTATCACCAGCAGTATCACCAAGGAAAACTTTATGATCAAACCCAAACCAGAAGGGTAAACGAGGATAAAGTGCATGAGGTTTGGTTTGGTTTGGTTTCTAGTGTAATGTAAGTTTCATGGGTTGGTTGGTTGGTTTTTCTTTGTTTTAATAGCTAAATGAAAACCCAGCCTCCTCACAGAGCATGAATTCTCTAGGCAACAGTGTTTAAAGTGCTGAAATGTTTCCTTACTGTGTTGCTCCAAAAGAAAGTATTGGATGGTAAGTTTCAGAAACCCTAGGGTGGGTCACTTGCTTAGAGATCACAGGCCAGTCTGCTCTTTGAGTTCAACTGAACAAAACCAAATCAACTCCAACTCTGCCCAGCCCAACCCAGATGCCTCCAATTTGAACAGAAGCGTGCCAGCGCTGCGTCTAGCAGCATCCCCCTGCCTTGGCTCTTCCCCCAAGAGCCACCAAATGAGGCCACCCAGGATCTCAGACTGGCTGAAAAACTAGTGAAATCCTAAGATGAAATGAGTTGGTTTTGTTAATCTTGTTCTGGTTTTGTCATCTTTGTGTTTTGTATTTTGTATATAAAATATTTTGTAAGCTTAAAGTATTTCATGTCTCTAAAGAGACATTTAACTCCAACTCTAAAGATCTAGTGATCTTTAGACATGGCTTCTTTGAAGCTCTTTTTTATTATTTATGGGTGTTTATTATTTTGGATTAAATAGCATTGTAACTCTTCTCTGGCTTAATAAGAGCCTAGAGTTCATTGTACCCAACATTGTACAAGAATCGTGTTCGTCTCATGAAGGAAGTGATGATGGGGAGTAGATGCCTGCTTTGTTTTAAAGAGTAGCTCTGCGATGGCTAAGCTGTTACGGAATTGTATCACGGAATTTCAGCCAAAGGTCTGATTCTGCCCTTAGGCATCTTGAGCTTGCTGTTAATGACAAACAGACTAAAATTAAAAGTGAAAAAAGGCAGTACTGAAGCACACCCAAAGTTTCAAAGGCACAGCTAATAATCAGACCTAAGTCCTCCATTAATCTAAAATTGTTGAGCTGCATTTTGTTGAAAACAAGCTTGAATCCAGCTTCATATGACAGTAGGTCAGTCAGCTCTCCGCATTTTCTTTCAGCCAAGAAACTGCCTGGCAGTGTCATCTTTGAGCCAAAATAGGCCCCGATGTAGGACTACAGCTAGGCTCTTGGGGAAGTTTTCCAGTAACACTTTTGTCACGTTGCAGTTAATGGTTGTGTCCTATTTCATCGTACAGCCTTGAAAACGAAGTTAAGCCCCACTATTGTGCTTCCAGACTAATCATCTTTAAAGCCGTTATCAAAAACAACTTTCAGAGTGAGAACTGTATGTTTCGTTTTTGCTTCAGGAAGTGCCACGTGCCTAGTACTGCAATGAGAAAACGTCACTGTTTTCCACAGTTTTGCCGCAACACTACTTGATTTCACAATTGCTATCGATAATCCATGGAAGCAGAGGCAATGCAGCGTTTCCTGCAGCATTTCCTGCAGCACACCCCTGCAGCTGGTCGGTACTTGTTCAGCTGTCTTCAGCATGGCTTTCATGAGAAAGTCTTTGTTACATCGCAAGTGGTGGTGAAAGCAGGTCTGTGCTAGAAGTTGAGCAATGAGCTCTGTGAGGCTACAGGATTAGCAAGGATATTTTGATATGACTTTTCTGTGCTAGCTGAATTCAGCACACTGTAGAAAGGGCAGAGAAAAGAGAGCAAAAGGTTTGAATCATTTAAGATCCATGAATTTCAGTAAGACAAAATGTCAGCATCTGCCATTGTAGAAGTTAGCAGTGTTGCTCCAAACTGTCCCACTGCAAGTAGTAGGTAAAGGTAGATTTGAAAAAGGTACAAAGAAAAAAAAAAAACAAAACAAAAAAAACAACAACTATACACTGAGAATTCCTAATGGCATTCCTAATCCAAAGATCTGAATCTTTAAGTACAAGTTGGTAAATAAGGGAGGAACTTCTCCAGATTGTACAAATGTTATAGGCAAAGGGCTGCAGAAAACTTAATAAAGACCTTTGAAAGAGGATCAAAAAATGTATTGGTAAAAGATGAAAAATATTTTGGATAATGACATCTACCAGTGGTGGTGTTTTTTTCAACCAGATTTTATAGAAACAAACAAAAAACAAACAAACAAAAAAAAAGGCACCGTAATTTAATGAAGACAGGGAAGAGAGTGACTAATGGTTAAAATATCTCTGGCTTCTTTGCAGGACTCCCTAGGAGGAATTTAAGTGGTCTGTACAAGGTCACATAGCAGACAGAAACAACGCAGGATCAGAGTTTATAAATCCTGTCTTCTGATCTCTTGCCTGGTCCTGGGCCCACTAGGACAACATGGATTAGGGAAGATAGATGAGTACCCTGTTGTTCACATTAGCCTCAACTTCACACAGCTTTGAGGACTTTGTTTCAAGATTTTTTTTTTTTTTAATTCTCCTAAATTTTGTTATGATTGTAAGGAATAAAATTGATTCATGAGATGAATTTCCTTTCTGGTATGTAGCAATACATCCAAATGCTGTTCTAGTGTATTTCTAGTGCTTGATATCATCATACCCATGGTAGCGGGTTGCTGTTTACATGTATTAGGACAAATTCTATCAACAGACCACCTGGGAACACATAATTTCAACTGCTGTAATCACAAAATGAGGCTCAAGCTGTCTGTAGTCCTTTTGTCTTTTGCTATCTGACCCTTGCTATTCATGCGCTGGTAACTGCAGGGACGTAACAATGCTCGGCAGAGCAGGCCCAGTTGAGAAATCTATTAAAAAAAAAAAAATCAAGCCACAATTTCAGTTCTGTTAGGCTTCATACAATACCTACCACTGTGCCAAGAGGGAAAATCATTACTGAAGAACCAGCAATGGGGAAAGAAGCAGTGGTCACCTGATGCTGCCTCCAGCAGAAATGAAGTTCTTGTGAGGTGGCACGGAAATGGTTTGACCATAAAGTGGATGTTGTCATCACTGTCTGCAAATGTGATAGATGGAAATAATTTCAAATGTTCTTGGCATCTCTCAAAATGCCTTTAATAACCTTCTTTTCTTTTCAATTTTTGTATTATTAAAGCCCTTCCCTAGTTGAAGGCAAAGAGGAGAATTAAGCAATGGTAAACCTTTTTTTAAAATTCGAAATGTACTGTCTCTTAGATTTTTCTATAAATAGGGTATTGCCTTCCTGAGCTAATTCACTGCTGCCCACAATTTACCTACAATGGCAAAATAGATGGCCATTAGCAGTAAGTGACTCAAGAGAGAGCTCCATCAGAAAGAACCATCTATATCGGCTCATGCAGTAGGATGTTGAAGCAATATTTTCAGAGAACTGGCAGACTTTTGTACTGCAGAACAAGCCTTGCACAGCCCACCCACACTGCCAGCCCAGCCTGGCACTTTGTTCTTCTTTGTGCTGGTGCTTTTCTCAGCTGTGATGTCTCAGCTGAGAGCAGCCAGGGAGGCAAGTCGTCTTGCAAAGCAAACTTTGCTCATTTTCCTGCAGAGAAGCCCAGCGGCTGCACGTCTCCTAAAAGCAAACAGAACAGCCACATGTTGGCCATAAAGACCTGTAGGGTTTTAGCTGGAAGCTCCACAACAGCCTGTCTGTCCTGCACTCCCCACAGCCCGTGATCAGGTAGATGGTTGGTCTCAGTAACAAGTAATCCGTGCAGGCCTGGAGGAGATGCTCTTTGCCACCTAATTCCCTCTGGGGGAGCCAAATGCCCATAAGTCAAATGTCCTGCTAGCAGGAGAGCAAGCAGTGTCCTCCAGGATTGAGCCCAAGCTTGTGTTTGTCCAGCACAGAGGAGAGTGCGCAGTCTGTCCCGTGGTCTTTTCTGAGGTCTTTGAAAGCAATTGCCAAAATTACCAAAAATATTTTAAGAACCCAAACTTGCTAATCTCCTTTATGAAGAAATACGTAGTGTAAGGGACTGAAGGCCTGAGGATCCTGCAACAAAGGCATGAGAAAGCCACAAAAAAAAAAAAAAAAAAAAAAAAGATTTCAGTGGAGGCAGTGTTGCCAAGAGTCCCTCAGGATTTTGAGATCATTCAGATGTAAGAAGGGCAGGCTTGAAATAGTTTTTAAAGAAACAAGGCTATGTTCTATGGCACTTCTTGTCACAGAGCACTTAGCTTCACAGTCATGAGTCCAAATACAGTTCAGTGGGTTACAGCAGGGCAATGACAGGGTGAGTTTAAAATTCTTTTTTTTTTTTCTGGCTGTCATCCTGACCTGTAGGGTTACATGGCAAACCAGTTTGTTTTTCAGCAACCAGCAGTTGCTTTTCAGCTTTCTTTACATTATTGTTTTATTTTCCTCAAACCTTCATTCCTGCCTCTAAGTGACATTCCCGTTAACCATTTGGCTCCGTACTTTTTTGATACAGCCAGGAAAAAATTGTCTGTGGCTGAAAAAGGATGGGGCCATTTTCACAGCATATCCAAAAACACTGCTGTGAGGAAAGCAACTTAGCATTTTGCTTCAGGAAGCTACCACTGTTTGAAAAGCTACATGATGCCTTATGTGTTACTGTGTTAATTTTTTTGCACGTTGTTTTCCTGACTAGCACCTTGTCCTTCTACGTGAAGTATTTTCCTTTAGGCTTCTTCCAGGTATCAGTGGTGAGCTGTGAGACCCATCTGAACATCTCGACCATCTTGACACAAGTGGACATCACTAATTCTAGCAACTGAGTTGCCACTCTTTCTTTCAGTGTCAGTGAAGATATCTGATGAGATGCTGACTTCATTATAAGGGGAATATATTGTATATATCTGTGAGTGCTGCGCTATTTTTAAAGCACATTTACGACTTACCCACAGTGTCCTATTTAAGTTATCTAACCTGCAAAATTAGGGAGAATGCTATAAATGAACAATTGGAGCACAACTGAGATGGAAGTGGTTCAAGTGATCAATTTGTGAGCTGGAATATAACAAAGAATTTTAGGAGATTTAAAGAAACAATTTTACAGCATATATATATAATGTATATGCATATGTATAATGTATATATGTGTATGTATATATATATATAAACACATCAGAAAAATGTACTTTCTGATGTGCTGTGACACAGTTTCCTGTAGCTCAGAGAAAGAGATGATTAAGTGATAAAACCAAAGCTGGAACTTGGGAATTGCCTGCTATCGCACAGATTTCTTACACGGTCTTAAGCACATCAGTTAATCCTCCTGTGTTTCAGTACTCCCCGAAGTAATGGGGAGAAATACTGTTTGATGCTCTCTGTGGAAATACAGCAGTGAGCAGAATCATGGTAAGCTTGTAAGTAAAATGTTTTGAGCAATATCAGCAACTTGCTTGTCACACCTCTGTCTGAAGTGTTACTTGTGACAATGCAAGGTAAATTTGCAAAGAACCCCGCATCTGAGAGGGTAAAAAAAGGCGGGGAAGAGAGAAGAAACAAAGAAAGAAACCCATTCTTGTTTCTCTCTTTCTTTTTCAGGTTTTCTATGAATACAATAGCTGCTTCAGGAAAAAAAATAAAAAAAGTATTAAAAAATGCAAAGATACACTTTAGTATCCCTGCCATTTTTTTGTCCTGTGCTGCCAGATGTAGAAATTGTATCTGTTTTTATTTTTTGTGATTTTTTTTGTTAGCATTGTAATGACTATAATGTGAGATTTTGCCGCTATTTTAAGCTACCTGAGAGGAAGAGTGTAGAACCATAAAATGCTTTTGCAAATTAGCATTTTCCTATGGGAGTGAGGGGTAAAAGCATTTGCTTGATGGATTTCAATAGCTGGTATCGGCAGTACCCAGACCTGTCAGTCCTTCACACTTGCCATGGGGCAAAGCTTTTAACAGTCTCAATATTACCAGTGGTTATCTGAAAAATAAGCAGCCTGTGGACAATGTGACCAGGTCATTTTTGAAAGTGTTCATACTAGAGCCTTTGAGAGAGAATCTGAAAAAGTCTGTTCCCAATGCTATTAGCACTTATATGGGTTAGGCTTTTCGCTGCTGTGTTACTGTTAGTGACAGTATTAGCGGGGATTTAGTCATTTAGGTATATTTAGTGATTTAAATTCTCCGGGTCATCATAAGCTATTTGCTGGAAACACTGAAGGTGACATAGAGCAGCTAACATAAAGGAAAAGGCAAGACAAGCTAAGGTATGGCTTCTGGCCCAAACACAGGAAAACTTACTATTCCTCTGAAGTCAGTGGCAAATTTCATTGCAATATTTACCTATCTCTGTTTTCATAATAAACATATCTGCTATATATTCAAAATCTATTAGTATATGCTACAGGTATTCAAAATCTCTTAGCATACACTACAGCACCTTTGGTAATAGTTAGCTGTTGAGGGTTAAGTCACTGTATGCCAGATTGCTTAACTAGATTTCTACATCTTCGTCCTTTAGTGTTTGCCCATTGGTGTAGCCGATGTTTTGGGGTTTGAAGACTTTGAAACCAACAGTTTTGAGCAGTTAGGCATAAATTATGCAAATAAGCAGCTTCAGTATTATTTCAGTCAGCATATTTTCAAATTGGAACAGGTAAGAAATCAGTTACTGAAACAACTTGTTTTATTAAAGTCTCATCTATTATGCAAACTGTTCTGCAAAACATCATGGCATAATTTTTATAATTGGTTGAATATATCTCCAGAAGTGTTGGAGGTTTTTTATTATTATTTCTTGTTTTAGTGTCGCTTATTATGGTATCATTTGAAAGTTGCAGCTTTGCTGTATGTAGTGCCCCATGTGCACTAATGTCAGCTGGGTCTTTCTTCAGAGAGCAAGCAGTGAGTTTCTCTTCCCCAGCACAGCCACCTCCATCAGCACCCCTCTGTCATAGATGTGAAACTGCCCTTAGCTGCAGAAAGATTCAGGCATCTTGCCTGCTGTTTCTGTGTATTACCCCATTTATAAGTGACCTCCTTGTGTTTTATTTTTGCAGGAGGCTGAGGTTATAGCTTTTGTCCATTTCCTTCTACATATGAATCTAGGTGGTGGCAGAGAAGAGCAATGCCATCACAGTGTTTTACCAAAACAGAGAAAGAATATAGTCACAGGATGTAGATAAGGCACTTCTGTGTGCTCATGTTTCGGACCCATGCATGTCCTACTCTTTGGTTGATGAGAGAAGCCAGCATTTAATCTTGCCCATTCATATGGCACCTTGACAAGCCAGAAATGATCATGGCAGGTGAATAATCCTATCAGTCCCAGTTGCATATTAAAATTCACTGTCATCTTCATGAGCTGAGGTACTTATCTGCGCATACCCCACCGAGGTGCTGCTTTTCAGCACTTGCTATGATTTCCAAGACCTGGGTAAGAAAATGGTTTAAAAAAAAAACCAACCACCTTCATTAGAGGAAGAGGCGAGGATGAGTAGGTCATGTAATTAGACGAAACTAGGTCGTATGACTGGGATTTTCCTTGTGAGGAAATACTCACAATTGCTGCCAATTTATTCAAAATGTGATGAGGGGAGAGGGGGAGGAGGCAGGCATGTAGCTATTGTCCTTTCTTCAGGCTATTTCTTGTTTCTCATTGCCTCTTTATCTCAACTATCTCATTGGTTTAAAAAGAAAAAGAAAAATCACAGACTCCTGATGCTTCTGTTACTGTGAGAAGCGTTTTTTTGTTTGTTTGTTTTGCTTTGTTTTGTTTTGTTTTAAAGAAAATTACTGATAGCCTAGCCTTGCTTTTTAATGTCACCAGGATATTATCGTTAAGGAGGTTATTTGCTTCCTTTTGAGTTTTCCTCTTCAGTAAGAGTTTGATTTAGGTATACTGCAAATTTCCATTGTTTGAGAATTGGAAGTTTAGAGTCATCTCCAAAACAAGAAATTAATGGTCTATACATGATACCTGTATTTGTCCAAACTTGCACTAGTTTAATGTGCATTGTAGAGCAGCCTTCTCTCAAAATATTATGCAAACTCATTGGCGGAGATCAAGACTTCTATTCTTTGCATCCTTTTTAAGGTAATATCTCAGTTAGTTAAAAGAAGGGCTTCAAGCACTGCAGTAAGACGAGTGCTAATGAATCACTTTGAGTGAACAGTTTCATAAGCAGACCCTGGTGGGGAGGAGGCACTCTGAGACCTGAAGCCAGGCATTGAGTAGGGAAGGTGAAAAGAACACTGAATAGCTTCCCAGTGACTGCGTGAACAGGAATCCTTAGAGACAACAGGATATGCTAATGTGATTAAAGATAATATAATACTTAGGAACCAAAAGCCCAAATCACAAAGTACAATCAGGGATATTTCTGGGATTTGAGTCATTGACTTTACAATGTTATTAAATAGTGCTTTTCAGAGAAGCTGCAGCAGAGCTGCATTGCTTTAAAATATGCAGTTCAAGCCAAAACATAACACTTGGAACACTAAGCTATTTTATCCCAAAATAAAATCATAGAAAAGAAGGAAAAAAAGACTTTTGACACTGTCACAATATCATTTCTAGCTAGAGCAGAGCCAGATTTTGCTGTTCTCGCAACTGTTCTCATACAGGAAGTCTCAGTGGATTTGTTATTGATGATCTTCTAATCTTGGAGGTATGAATTTTATTACTATTATAATTAGTGCTTAAAGTACATGAGGTGTCTGACATACAGCTTGGCAGATAAAGAGGCTTCTGTACATCATACCATGGGGCTTCTGTATGTGTTTCAGTCCTTGTATATGTCTACATCTCTGTAAAGCAGAGTACACAGAGACTCTGCTCGCCCTTTTCCCACCTCTCAGGTACATTGCACTTACCTACAGTGAATAACACTGCAAGAGCAGCCGTGCTCCTCGAGCTCTGCATTTCTGACCCATACTTGAATGAGACATGCTGGGGCACAAGGGTTTCATCTCACTACCACCACTGCAGTGCACTCCTACAGAGGAATTTATTTTCCAATAGATTTGACACCTAACTATGACCAGAAAAATGCTTTGACACACTCATAAAAAAAAAAAAAAAAAGTGCTTAGATAGAGAAAAAGATCTTATTGCTATGGTTTGATACCAACGTGAAGTAATTTCAAGCAATCTCACATGTTTTCAGTAAAAGACGTACTGAAAGAATTCCATACCCTGCTGCTTTAACTTTCCTTTTTTTTCTCCATCTTGCTATCCTGGAGTAAATTTTCTCCCTTTGATTACTATAACACTGTAGTTCAGAAACTAGAAAGCAGCATGATATTTCCTAATTCCATTTCATGATACTGACATCCTGATATTACTGTTTTTTTTGGTGGTTTGTTTTTGTTTTTGTTTTGATTGGTTGTTTGGTTTTGTTTTGTTTTGTTTTCTCTCTCTCTCTTTTTTTTTTTTTTTTTTTTTTTTTTTTTGCTTTGAGGTGGGTTAGCAAGAGAGGCTGGAAATCTATTTTAATAGCATCTTTTAATTTTGGTGCAATTCATCTTTTTCATGCTGGCAGGGTAATTTAATTTGTTGTTGACCTAGTTCCAGTTGTAAAAGATTAGACTATTCATTATCACAGAAGTTTTATCCTTTGGCCCTTAAAATAATTAAACTTTTTGAAAACGTGTTACAGATTATTAATAAATGTTGTATTTTACTTAGTGAGTTCCTTGTTTCATATGAAAATATTTTGTCAGTACACAGTCTTGATGATTCCTTTTTAATTGTGAGGCATAATTACCGCTAGGAAGGGTGACACTGAAATTCAGCAGTGAACCAGTTTTTGATCAGCATGGCACATGATGTTGTTGTCACAGATACCGCGGCTTCATTGCATGAATCTTTCCCTCCAGCAATATTGAGGCAAAAGCATCCACTGTAATTAGGGATTTGAAACCTATGTTGTGTAATTGGTTCTGCTACACCGAGCAGAATGAATGTCCCTCTTAAAAAGTGGAAGACAGAAAAACAGGTTATCTGAGTTATCTGAGTGATCCTTCCCTGCCCACCCTGCCAGTGACTGGTGTTTGCTTGCTCTCACTTTGGCAGTCCTGGGAGGTGCAATCACTTTTCTCAAAGCTTCTCCCAGAGCAATTTGTCTGACTTCTAGCAGGTTTCTGGGGAGGACCTGGATCCAGCCTACCTTGAATAAGAGGTTGCAGCTGTGAGTGAGATGGCTATGACTTTTTTTGGTTCCACCTATAATGGGAATTTGCCCTGGCTCCATCAATGAGTGACTAATTTCCTGGGCAGGTGGGGCAGCATAAACCTCTGCTGTAGGTAAGGAAAACCAAATTGTTACTAGTTACAGATTCCAGTGGACTTAAGGTAACTTCAGCTGTCCTTGACTACACTTGTGATTTGGATGCAGGTTCAAGGTGCTGCTGCTTGGCCAGAAGTTTGGAGGAGGCTTGGACAAATTCCCAAAGTGCCTCCGGTAGGTTTCTGGGGTGGCAAAATCAGCAGAGCAGCATTCCGGGAGCTGCTCGGTGATTAAGGATGAGGTCTGTAATAACATGTTCACTATAAACATTTCTGCTGTTTTCCCTCTAGAGCATGTGTTGCGAAAGAAGCCGTGGAGACCTTTGTGCCATCCCCAGCCAGCGGGGCCCTGGGCTGTCCTGCCTGGCTGCCCTCGGGAGCTGTGGGGACGTGGGGAGAGGCAGCTGAGCTTACCGGGGAAGCCAGCTCGGCCTGGGAGAAAGCAAAAGGGCCCAGGGGAGCGGGAGGGAATAGAACGGAAAACTGCAGCTACCACTTTTGGGTTGGAATGAGAGAGCAGCTCTTTGTGGGCTTTATTGGGAGGGGCTGTTGAGGGATATCCTTTTGCCATCCAGAATCCTTATCTGCTGCTAAGCAATTACACAATGTTAGCTGAGATTTCAGGTGCTGAAGCAATCAGGTGCTTCTTGGAAAAGTGATCAGAGCTGAAAGCCTCCTGAGAGCATTGTTTTTGCAATCCTTCTTGTTTTATCCCAGGTCCAACAGTATTTTTGATGTCTGACGGCACCTAGGAACTGGCAGGAGGCAGAGTGAAGAGCTAGGGACAATCTTGTGTAAGCAAGAGGTCAGCTACAATAGCAGTGCCTTCTCATTGTGTTTGATCTTGTTGCATGTACATTCTTCTTCAGTCCTATTTTTGGCAGAAATTATTATTTTTGCATTTTCTCTTCTCTACTGTACTTCCAAGAGAGAGAAAACGGGGCACAAGTGTGGGCTGCTGTTTTGAGAGGGATGAGTACTGAGAACTCCTACAAAAAGAAGCCAACTGTCATCTCAGAGATGGCACCCGGATCATTTATTTAGAAGCAGACGATGACCTCTGTCCGGTACGTTTTTCCCAGACTGCTGCTTCAAAAATAGAACCTCTTGCTCACTTTGCCCTTTGGATTTTTCCTATTCCCTCCCTGCTTACACCAAAAGAGATGACAACAGCTCCACGGTCCTGACCCTAGTGCTGGACACCAGCCCTAACCAAGGTTACCAAGCTAACCAAGCACCTCCTCATGCCCAGCTGAGCAGGGGCCCACAGCTGTGCGGCGCTGCCTGTCGGTGCCGTGGGCTGCTCTGGCACTCTGGGGCTGCAGCACAGGCTGGTGGCTGCTGCCACAGCACAGCTGCACCCAGGCACAGCCCACGGTTCCCTCTGCATGTGTCCAGATGGGGCACATACAGATATGGGAAATGACATGAGAGTTGATGATAACCCCAAGCCCATGTCACGTGGATGCGGTAGCTGATAATAGCGCAAGTCCGTCCCTCAGGTCTAAGCAATGCTGAGCAATTTCTCTGCTCCAGGTTTTCAGTGCAAAACAACGTGCTCACCAATTTAGCTCATTAATAATTGAGAGTAAATTTCAGGTTATCTGTAATACTCTGAACCAGACATGCAAGTTTAGCATCTGTTTTTGACTGGTAATTGTGACGTGCAGAGAGTATCTACGGCCTGTTTTCAGAGGTGACCTCATGTGCCTAAATCCTAATGAGTTATTTTTAAGCTAAAATGTCCTAGTTTCAGCTTCACCTATGGGATCTGTTCCTATATAGATTAGTCATTTTTCATAAAAAAAAAAAAAAAAAAAAAAAAAAAGCATCAAGTTGTATGTTAAACAAAAAAGGGGGGAGGGGGGAAAGAGGGTTGGGCAAAAAAAGGACAATTGGAGCTCTTTGTGCTTGCCAAGGCCATGGAACTGTTATAGGACATAAGTGAGTGATCATTAAAAATAACCTTTCTTCTGCTGGGAGGTATTGCTGTTAGGCAGATAATGAAATGCAACAACACTCTGTCTCCTGGTCTGTTACAGAGCCTTTGGTGGTGCTATGTCAGCACTTGCTTTGTTTCCACTCTTTAACAAGGCCTTGACATGCTGCTGTTAACTTGGTTTTATGCCTCTTTTATGTTTTCATAGCCCCATGCAGAATGTTTTCAGCATTATGTGCTTCCTCCAGTACAGAGTCTGAGCATCTTGCTCCAATTTACTGGCTGAGGAGGTGAAGAGGCTGTTCCCTGTACCAGCCGTTGGGTGCTTCCCCTCCACCTGAGATCTTTTGTAAAAACAAAGGAACAATCCTCCTGCTGGTGAGTTAATGATGAGCATGATGTAATGGGCAGGGAAACATTGCTGCCCTGTAACATTAAATGCAAACCTCCAGCTCTTCATTCTCTTCCTCATTTGGGCAAGTTAAATTCCCCTACAGCTTGCACTCTCCCCTGACAGATGGGCTAACAGCCTCTCACCCTGCTCTGAACAACTTCGTGGCTGCTGTCATGCCCCCTCCTAAATTTGCACCTGGATTTGAGAAGTCAGGAAAGAGAGCAGATAGAGCAGTGTGAAGACAGGCGCTGTGAGGGAATTACTGCTCTGCTGTAGCCAGAAGGGGATAGGACTGCAGGAGGTTGTTAGTGGCATTTATCTTGGAGGTAGGGAATTATTTGGTGGCAGAGACAGAAGACAAATATATGAACAGAAGTTAATCTGTGGTTGTGGCTCAACAGTACACAAAAATACGGTCCCATAAGCGTAGCAGAACTGATAACAAACCAAAGAACAGCAATATCAGGAAACAACACTGCTGATGCCCACAGCTTGCTGTAGCAGTAGTGCCTGTGGGACAGGTTAAACTGAGATGAGGGCTCCCCTATGCTAGACTCTGCACCACGTCAGTGACAGGTGAAGTAAACAGTGAACAACCCCATGGCAAAACAGCAGGAGAGCTGGAGGACATGCTTATACTGACCACTAGATAGTTCAGGCTTATTTTGTTTGAAATATTCCTTTTTTCCACCCATTGTGGGGAAAAGCACAGGTAGATGCAGGGTTATGCAGGAGCTGAGGCAACAGTTCACAACCTCTGTAGCTGAAACTCATTGCATACAAAAAGTTCCTTTCCATCCCTCATCCCAGGAGTCCATAATTAAACTGACAGGCAGAGAAATGCCATCAGGATTAACATATGTGTCTCAAGACACATTTCCAATGAGACAGAGAAACTTTTTTGTAAAATGTTTGTTTTAGTTTTAAAGCCTTTTTTGTTTGTTTTAAAAATCGAATTATTTAAACTTTTTTTTTTTAAGTTTGCAAAGAGGATGTGACTGGGAAAGGACCCCAGATCCTGACACTTAAATGAGTTGTACTCTCTCCTTTTTAGGCTTGCAGTGGCCATGTCTCAGAGCCCATGCATCATGTAGAAAATTGAGCAGTCTGATTTTTTTTTAAGTTAGTGATTCACCCATATGTTTATTCTGTAAGATAGCAAGGGAACCGATTTATATGCCAGCCTTGTTTATGATGGTTGTTTTCAGATTCATGACGGCAAAAGCCCTCTTCTACTCCCCTTTCTAGAAATGCTACTTCAGAAGATATTTCTGTTACCTAAAGTAGAAAGTTATACAAGCTTGCTGTTTTTGTTTTGCAAGAGCTTTGGAAACAGTCCAGTTTCAACTTGTCTCTAATGCCATGCAATCTGTTTATGTTCTGCTTTACTTTTCTGGCAACTTCTGAAAAGATAAACTTATCTTTGTGAGGTGGAATTGATATGAACTGTACCGGACAGATACA